CACACAACACGTAGAGTTAGGATTCAACTTAAAATGTCTTCCACTCAAGCATTGCTGAATGCAGCGGGAATACAGCCGTGAGAAGGACAAGAGAGATTGTCGCAGTGCCAAGAGACAGATGTGCACAAGCATGCATTCCTGTGTCAGAGAGTGCTAAAACAATAAACCAGAAGGGAAAGGGGCAGGGAAGGAAGTGGTTTTGAAGTAGGCTGTGAAGAGTCTTTCTGATGGAGTTGAACAGAAATAGGAGTGAGGTGAAAGAGCTGAGCGTGGTCCCTTCTAAGAGAAGAGATCTTGCCCCGAGAGGAGCCTTCGCGTCTTTCCCTGGGCCCTGCCCCTTAGGACTTCTGACCCCCTCGGCCTCCAGCTAGACTCTCAGGATGAATGGGCACACAAATTATTCACATTTAGCCACCATGTGGAATCCAATCCCTTGATCTCCATGTCATGATTACATCACCCTCATGTTGGTACATTTTAATCACTAATTCGTCCCCTAGTAAGGGAGAAATTCCTACTGTGTAGCTGTGGGGATGCCCAAATACCCAATACTGGACAGATGTGACAGGCAGCAGACTATTAATTGCATTACTCAAAGCCTGGAGTGAAAAAAAGACATTATACACCCCACCCCACAGGCCCAATGGTAGCTCTACTCAGAAGCGGTGGACAGTGTAAAATGGGGCTGATAGTTTCAATAGGATCAGGTGCCATGCAGTTACCACAGGAGAATATGTTTGGTTATTAGAGTAATTTCAAGGGTCGACAGGGAACTGAATGCTGATCCTCGGGGATAGTAGGAGCTCTGCCTGTTACCTTTGATTGGAAAAGATTCTTTGTATGAGGGCCATATCCATGGGTACAGGCTGGGAGAGCTGTCATGTATCCATGGGTACAGGCTGGGCGTGCAGTAGAGGCCCTCCTAATTATATTAGATGTTGAGCTTTCAAATGTCATTTAAGCCAGTTGTGTTCAACCTGTGGGTCACAATTCTTTCACAGGGGTCACATATCAGATACATTTCATTACAACTCATAAAAGTAACAAAGTTGCTGCCGGTAGTGGCACAGGCCTCTAGTCCCGGTACTTGGGAGGCAGAAGCAGGCAGATCTCACAGTTCGAAGCCAGCCTGGTATAGAGTAAGTTCCAGGACAGCCAAGGCTACTTAGAGACTCTGTCTCAAAAATAAATAAATAAATAAAACAAAACCAAATAAAAACAAATAATAGCAAACAAAAACAAGTGAGCTCCATGTTCAGTAAAAGACCCTGTCTTGATGGAGTAAAATAGAACAATAGAAGAAGACACCCCGTGGCCGCCATGCCCTCTGCACAGGTGTGCATAGTTACACACAGAGAAAATGGCTGTAAGGAGCTAAGTGTGTGGAGCATGCCTGTAATCTCCGCACTCAATGGCTTAGTCAAACGGATATTGAGTTTGAAGTCAGGCGGGTTACCTAGTGAGAACTACAAAGAAAAAACAAAAAGCAAAAAACCTCAGAATTGTAATTTGCTTACATGTTCATTTATTTTAAACATGCAGAAGTAATACCAGCTTCACAGTAGTGTAAGAAATTTTAAAAGTTCACATGAAAACAAACCCATTTGATTCCTGTTTTTAAAATGCTTGCAAGTTTTCAGTTTCTATAAGAATTTATTTCTAAATGGCTACATACTTAACAGGACTTTCTGAAAGAATTAGGAAAATAAGCTTGCAGTCTGAATACAAAAAGCCTGAAGATTTAGAGGACTTTATGTTAATACAAACACCATGGCTCATCTACAAGAACCACAAGAGACTGACAAGAGTGTGTCAAAATCGCCTAGAGGCTTCTTAAAACACTGATTCCTGGGGACTGTAGTCCTGTGCCCTCTGATGTCTAGTATCTAAAAACATAGTTCATGCATGCATTGACTAGCTCTAAGATTGTTTACAATCAGCAGACTAATTTTGGAACATGTTACAATTAGAAAATCTGTTCTTTTTTTTAAAATTTGAGAAACAAATGAGGCAAAATTATTTACACTGAAATGACTTGATTCTGTCTTTTTGTTTGTTTTTGTTTTTCAAGATAGGGCTTCTTTGTGTAGTGCTGGCTGTCCTGGAACCAGCCACGTAAACCATGCTAGCTCAAACTCACAGAGATCTGCCTACCTCTGCTTCCAGAGTGCTGTGATTAGAGGCGTACACCACCACCACCCGGCTTCGATCTTTATGGGTTTGATTAAAACAGCAGCAGTAAAGAAATACAAGAAATTTTCTATTTATATAATAGTCATTTTAGTCCTCTGATATAAAGGTTTTCTTTTGTAAATTATGAGAACAAAAAGGAAATTGAAAAGGGAGAATTTTTCTCCTTTATTACCACTGACCTTACACATAGATGTTTATATTTTCCTATTCCTTCCTAGTATCCATCTATAAAAATACATACATATAATTATAATCAATGATGAACATAAAGTATTTTTCTTTTTTGCTTAACAAAGTCATGAGATTTTCCCATTGTGATATGGTAGATTTTTTTATCATATGACAACAAAGATTGATAAGCACTATTTGTCGTACTTAGATAAGTGAACCAGTCTGTTTGTGGTTGATGCTGAAAGTCCTCCCAGCATGTCAGCAGTCTGGTGTGGCTGCTGCCCTAGTCACAGTGAATGGTAGATGACGGTAGAGTGTGAGGGAAATCCTTCCTAGAAGACAGGAAGTGGCAGAGATCTTAGGAGGTGGGCTCTGGCTTTTATAAAACTAACTCAGAGATCCTCTGAAAACACCATGATCTCTTTCCCAGGACAACGTCCCAGGAGCTTCTTCCAGTAGAGGTACTATCACTTCTTCATATCCCTACACTGGGGAACTAAGCTTCTAACACATGAACGATATTTAAGCAATAGTATTAGGGATAACATTCTAAATATGATATAGCTCCTGCAGGGGCTAGGGAAATGACTATAGATAGGGAAGCATGAAAGCCTGAGTTCAGATCCTAGTGGAGTAGATCTGTTACGCTCGCTGGCTGCCCAGCCTAGTGGCATCAGTGAGCTTCAGGTTCAGGGAGAGACCATGTTTCAAAAAATAAAGGTGGGAAGCAATTGATGAAAGGCCCCTGGTGTCCGCCTCATGCCTCTGCATGCATGCACATGCCTGCATACAAACAAGATACAGCCCCTGGAAAGTTTCATGGGCTAATGGTATTAATAATTATCTAGAGCCTATTTATTGAGCACCTGGAGCTAGGGATGCTAAGCGCCTTTCATTTGATAGTCACAGTAGTAATACGTGTGTCATGTGAAGAGATGAAGAAGCTACAGTTGAGTAATTTGCACAGGATCACATAGCCAGTAAGTGACAGTCATGACTTGTACTCATATCTAGCTAGATTCCAGAGGAAAGCGTGGTCAACAGGTAGATTTACAATGTTAATACTAAATTTCAGAGCCCCTCATTTGTCAGTGCAGGGCTTGAAATGTTCAAGGTAGAATTAGAAAGCTGTATTTTAACTAGAAACCATTTCTAGATAAGCATTTTGGGAAATTGCTGATGATTTCTTGGAGCTTATTATTTTGCTAACAAAATATTGTAAACAAATACTCATTTTTGTAATTGAATAATATGTGTCTCTGAAAAAATGAGAAGTTCAGCCATCAGAGAAGACAGAAAGAGAATAGCTTGCTGTTGCTTGTATGTAAGCCCAGCAGCATTCAGGGGGCAGAGGCTGGAGGACAGCCTGGGGCTACGTAATGGGTTCCAGGCAAGACTGAGTTACAGTATGAGACCCCGTCTCAACATAACAAAATTAAAAATAGCACGCTTATAAATAATCGCATCTAGTTTCATGTTGTATCATGATATGAGGAGAAGAATGATCATTTCTTGGAATATTTTAGGGAATTTTGACCTTACTCTATCTGAAGTTTTTAACCTCAGCAGCACTTGGAACTGGTAGATCTTGCCGGGCAGTAGTGGTGCACACCTTTAATCTCAGCACTTGGGAGGCAGGAGGATCTCAGTGAGTTCGAGGTCAGCTTGGCCTACAAAGCGAGTTCCAGGACTGTTATGTAGAGAAACCCTGTCATGAAAAATTAAATAAATAAACAAACAAACAAAGAACTGGTAGATCTTGAGAAGCGCTGACTTATCTTTATTTAAAAAAACAAAACAAAAACAGAAATGGCCGGGCAGTGGTGGCGTACGCCTTTATCCTGACACTTGGGAGGCAGAAGCAAATTGATCTCTGTGAGTTTGAGGCCAGCCTGATCTACAAGAGCAAGTTCCAGGACGAGCTCCAAAGCTATAGAGAAACCCTGTCTACAAAAAGAAAAACAGAAATTGCCCAAATACGTAACTAGGAATGATACATATGCAACAAAAAGCTATAGAATCTGGAACATGGAAGTGAAATAATAAATGTGTATCTTTATTAAGTCTTATGTGGTTGGAGAGAGAAACTCAGCCTGGTCCAGACTAATGGTTGCATAATAGTACATTATTAGTTCTCATACCCCCTGTGTTAAAATGTATTCTAGAGATATATGTTTGTCATTACTTTTAAAAGTACAGCTTTTGACATCAGACAGTGATAGCTCACACCTTTAATTCCCTGGACTCAGGAAGCAGAGGCAGGCGGGTCTCTGTGAGTTTGAGGCCAGCCTGGTCTACAGAGCTAGTTCCAGGACAGGCTTCAGAGCAACAGAGACACCCTGTCAAAAGTCCAGCTTTTGCTTCATTTCACTAGAACAGATTACCAAATGTAGGAGTAATTCTGTTGAGTCAAAAGGTGTGAATAGTTCAGCCTCAATAAATTATTGTAATGGATATAACTAATTTACAGTTTTAAATAGAACCAAATAGGATGTTTAGAAGAATTTTGCTAGGTTTGAGAAAAAACTTAGAATTTTTATTACACTAATATTATTTTAAAATTGGCAATAAATTATTAAAACATTGTTTCTATTGTGTTTACAACATTCTTTCATAACTGAATTTATCTTTAATAGATTGATGAACTCCCAGAGGGAGCTGTGAAGCCTCCAGCCAACAAGTATCCCATCTTCTTTTTTGGTACCCATGAAACGTAAGTTAACAAAATAGCCTAAGTTTCAACAGCTCTGATCTGACTCCACTAGATTACATATTAATATGTGATCTCTACTGTTTAATGTTAGTTATTATGTCCTCTTATAAAATAACAGACAACACATTTTATTACTGTAAGGTGCACTAGTTATTTTTGCATGTTATAACAAAACACAACGGAAGCAAGTTTGGGAAGAAAATCAGGGGATTTCAGTTCCTCACATCAGGGAAGGCATGGTGGAGTCTATGCAGGAAGAATATGTGGTTATAGGTTTTTACATGTGGACTAGGACTAGGACATGTAGAAAAGGCAAGCCTGGGGGCAGGCATGGCCATAGCGTAAAAGGTACGTTTCTAATGACCTATCATTCATGCCTCACTCCGTAAGACTCCACAACTTCCCAAATTAACATCACTGTCTGGGTACTAAATGTTTGAACCTAAGAGCAGGGGAGAGGGGGCATTTCAAATCCAAACCATAAAGTAAGTTTTTGTTCATAGAAGTCTTGATTACTGAAAGCACATCTTTGTTTTAAATGCCATTTCTGTTTCTATTTTAAGTGTGGGTTATCAAACCAAGTCTCCTTTCAGGACACTTGTGAAGTCCTAGAGCAATTGACTTACTGCTGGGACTCTGTACATGTCCCGTTTAGAGAAGCATCTTCCACTCATTTTTATAGGACAAAGTTATGTTCTCTTAGCTCTTTCAGCTTTAGACCTAAAACAAACATACTGCCTTTTAAAGATTTTATAATTACATTTGTTAATATATGGATTCTAGTAATATATACGTTTATTTCCTTTATTCACAGTAATCCAGAAGTGGGCACAGGTGAGGGTGGATAGACAGGTTTGCACTAAATGAGTTCTAAGAGTTGCACCCTCTCTCAGATCCTACCATTCCTTGGTATTACCCTTGTGTGCCTGTTCGTGAGAGCCTCGCTATATAGACCACATTGGCCTTGAGCTCACTGAGATCCCTCTGCTTCTCCTAAGTGCGGAGGTTAAAGTCATTTGCACACCTAGCTCATTAGCTTTATTTAAATACTAACGTTTCCATTGTGCATGTGCATCTTCTAGGGAGAGGGAAAGAGAGAAGAGTGAAAAACAGGATGACTTGTAAGGAGATGGCAAGAAAGGTCCCTCAGTCACTTCTGCTTGCACTCATTCCAGTGTCAAGAATTTGGTCATGGACCCGCACACAGCCATAGGGAAGCTGGGACGTGGTTTCCAGTTTAGCAGTTCTGAAATATGGGAGAAGTAATAATCTGTTAATGAAGAAGAAGGTTTGGGGGACAATTTGCAGTCTTGCCACACTCTATCATTTACTGTCATTTAAATGTTAGCAGAGTTTGAAAGGAATCTTAGCTTGCTATTTCTCCCATTCTAACTTGACCTCATTCTGGTCTTGAAAGCACCAGGGTAAAGTCCTGAAGACAGAAATTTATTTTCTTGTGTGAGAGATAATGTGTATCTTTCAGGAAATAATCTTTTAGGGCTTTTTGGTATTGTTTTGAGTTTAGTTTATTTTGGCTTAATTATATTGTTGTTGTTCTGTTTGTGTGTATGCGTGTGTTGCTGGACTAGTTACAAGTTCTCAAGGAGGCAAGAAGCTAAACCCAAGTCTTACTTTCATCTGACAAACACTGTATATACCTTTTCTTAGGTTGCTAGAAAGCTTAGAAGTAAATGTTTTACCTATAAATAGAATATGCTTTGTGATACATATTTTATTTACCTCACTCCTGACCTTATTTTATATGCATACCATTGTTCTGATTTCCTTAGAATGACCTGTTCAAATTATCTGGCTGCATTTTTGGGGACAAGGCAAAAGTTAACTTAGAAAAATCTCACTTGTACTTTATGCACCATTTACTAAAATTATGTGTTTACTTTTATTCCCTTGGTAAGTATTTGTTTTTTTAAGGTATTCTGTAAATCAGTGGAAGTGGAAAGGTGCCCTTAAAGACCCGCCAACTGGCACACAAACTTTAATCAGCTTAACCCACAGTTGTTTCCTATGCATAGATCAATGATTGCAAAAGTCAAAGGCCAGAGTAATAATTCCTGTTAAGTTTCCTTGAAAGTGAAGTAGACATATAATGTTCACTTTTTCTCATGTTCATGTTGTTCATCAAATACAACTTTAACTTACCCATCCCTCAAAAGTTTTATTTTTGGTTGTGTATTTGAGCATTTCCTTTGCCCTCTTCCAACTCTTCCTGGATCCACACCTCCTTTCCTACTCATTCAACTTTGTGTCTTTTCTTTTTAAACCACCAGGACCAATTTGTGCTGCCCAAATATTCTTGGATGTGTGGTATCTTAGTTTAGATTCCTATTAATGTGAAGAGACACCATGACCACGGCAACTCTTATAAGGAAGAACATTTAATTGTGGTGGCTTACATTTTCAGAGGTGCCTACTGAAGGTTCTGTCCCACTCAGTCCCGCAGCAATTCAGTCCCAAATAAACACACAGAAGCTTATATTCATTATAAACTGTTTGGCCTATTGCTTAGGCTTATTACTAACTAGCTCTTACAACTTAAATTCACCCATAATTCTTGTCTATGTTTAGCCATGTGGGTTGGTACCTTTTCTTAGTAAGGCATTCTCATCTTGCATCCTCTGTTTCTAGATTATGACTGCATTTCTTCCTAGAATTCTCCTCGTCTGGTTGCCCTGCCTATGCTTCCTGCCTGTCTACTGGCCAGTCAACATTTTATTAAGCCAATATGAGTGACAAATCTTTACAGTGTACAAGAGCATTATCCCAACAGCACAGATGTTTAGTCCATTATCATTATGGTGTGACATGGTGGCATGCAGGCAGACATAGTGCTGGAGAAGTAGCCAAGTGTCCTGCATCTTGCCTTGAAGGCAACAGGAAGTAGTTTGAAACATGGGTATGGCTTGAACATGTATGAGACCTCAAAACCCGCCTCCATAGTAACACACTTCCTCCAACAAAGCCACATGTCCTAATAGAGCCACTTCCTTTGGGGGGCATTTCCTTTAAAACAACCACATGTGATCTTCCTGGAGTATGGCTAACTAACAGGTCTACACTTCTCTCCCTGGTAGACAGGGTCTCACAGAGCCCAGAATGGCTCAACTCCTGCCTCCACCTCCCATGTGCATTGTCAGTGCCAACACACTTAGTATACATAGATTTGTTAGTTGATTTTTTTAATCATCTGGAGAGATCATTGCTATACCCAGTCAGAAAATGGAATTTATGAATTACTGCTAGCATGTTGACTGAAAGGTTTCAGTATCATCTTTTTCTGATTTCTAAATTCCTATCTCTAGCTCATAGTTTTCTTTAATCCCCAGAAAATATTTTCTAGCTCCCTACTTGATATCTTCTTTTGAATGTTTTAACTGGGACTTCAAGTTTTACAACTAACAATATGCTTCATCCCAAATTTTTTTATGCAAGAGAAAAATCGTAACATTTCAGAAACTAACAATTCTAGCTTTCTTATTAGGTAGCCTCAAATCCAGTTTCTCCACCAAGGTTTCTTTCCTGAGAATGAAATCTGAATTTGATCAATTCTTTAGCCAACTACACCCTGGCCCAAGTTGCCATCATTTTTTATTTCTGTAGCCTTCTGTTAGTTCTTGCTTACCTCCTAGTACCTAACCTTCACTTGGTTTCCAACATGACAGCCAAATGGTGCTATGAACAAAACTCAGAACCTTGCATGGCTTCCCATACTACTCAATACCTTTGCAATGAGCTCCAAGGCCCTAACAGGTCGCTAGCCTGTTACTTCTCTAACCATGTCCATACTGGTTACTGTTACTCAATTCACTCTAGCTGCCCTGGCCTCTTCTGTGTTTCTCAGACACACATTTTTTTCCCCAGGTAACAGCACAGAGGATACCTTCACCTCCTTTACTTAGAAGTTCCCTTCCTGGTCATGCCTTCTCCAGTCTTTATAGCTGTAATTGTAGAAGTCATCCCTAATGTACCCATCTGGGATGGGCTAGTTTTAATTGTCAACAGCCCAACCTAGACTCACCAGGAAAAGAGTTTCAGTGAGAAATTAGCTAGGTGAATAATTTGTCTGTGAGGGGTTGTCTTAATTGGTTATTTGAACTAGAAAGACCCACCCACTGTGAGAGCACCATTCCCTAGGATGGATTCTGACTGTCTGAGTGGAATGAGTTGAGCTTCAGCGTGCATGTGTTAACTCATTGCTTTCTGCTCTTGACTGTGGATGTGATGTGTCTAGCTACGTCAGAACCCTTGACTTCCCGACAGTGGTGGATGTTTAACCTCAACTATATGCCAGATCAACCCTTTCTTCCTTAAGTTGCTCTGTTAGGGTGTTGTATCACAGAAACAGGAAAAGAAACTAAGACACCATCCTTCTTCGTATACAAGAAATATGTGTTTAGTTTGCCATTTTAATTGGTCTACTATCAGCACCTGTGCTTCCTGAAGGCAGCAATTGCTGTGCCTTATTCCCATACCATTGCAACAATGCCTGACACATTATAGGAGTTTAACTGGTATTTGTCATATTAATAGCTATGTAAACTTTAATTTGAAATGTCTCAAGGATGTCAGCCAAAGTGAGCCTTAGTAGTTTCACTCACTAAATTAAGATCACAAGTCACGATATTAAAGGTTCTGTTCAGTGTGCCCCAGTCTGTTAGTTACAGAATTTAACTACTTTTTCTTGAATATAATTAATTTAGTTAGGAAAGCTTTAAATTAGATATAATTTTGTTTACTTTGCCACTTCTGGGTTGTTCTCCCCCCAAGCAATTTACAGAAATAATTTTGGCTAGGCTAAGTATTCTAAAATAGTATACAGAATTAAATAATTTTTATTCCAGTATTTAAATTCCTAATATAAATCTCACAAACCCTTACTTACAGTAAGATTAACATAAATACTAGTTTAAAATGATGATTGACACAATCAAAGTAAATAGCTCTAATTCTATCTTGTGTAACTAGAAATCAATTTTAAACGAAGTATATCGGTAATATTAATATAAAGTCAAAATTGGACAATCCACAGTTGCTGACTTTACATACTCAGATATCCATTTTATTGCCTTGAAATATGTTTCTAAAGCATCTTGTGATATGTGTTTAACCCAGAGGGTTTCTGTATACTTTAAATAACTTTATTGTAATGTGCTCTGACGTCATATTTGATCTTGATATTACAGCACCTTGTATTTGAAGGTCAGCGTGTCAGTTCTATTTCTGATCTATCTCTGCAGTGCATTTCTAGGTCCTAAAGACCTTTTCCCATATAAGGAATACAAAGACAAGTTTGGAAAGTCAAACAAACGGAAAGGATTTAATGAAGGATTATGGGAAATTGAAAATAACCCAGGAGTGAAATTTACTGGGTACCAGGTAATAGTTTGCATCACAGTCTCTTGTTGTACTCTTATTCCTTGCTTTTAACTCTTATGCATCTTTGTAAAATGTCCTTCTTGTTAGTACTCACCTTCCATTCGTTTGAAGTCAGAGTTCTTCTTTGGCTATAGCAGCAGTTTTTTTTTTTTTTTTTTTGATTAAGTACCAAGTCTTGCCCAGAGAGTCTGAGTTAAGTGGCCATTGAAAAATTGACTCTGACAGTCATTTGGGTCATTAATTGAATCAGGATTACCCATATTGCTGAGATTAGCTTCAAATTCTTGACCACAAGCAACCCTCCTACCTCAGCCTCAGCTGGAATTAGAGGTGTGTGCCACTATGCCTGGCTGTCATAAAATGGTTCTTTATTTTAAAATGTTAGAAGTAGGCCAAAGTCTTTGAAATTTAAGCGGAGTGATTGTTTCCACAGTTTGTGTTCCTTTTTTTTTTCCAAAATGTAATTGTCTGATTTTTTTTTCCCTTAGACAATTCAGCAGCAGAGCTCTTCAGAAACTGAGGGAGAAGGTGGAAATACTGCAGATGCAAGCAGCGAGGAGGAAGGCGATAGAGTAGAAGATGGAAAAGGCAAAAGGAAGAATGAGAAAGGAGGCTCAAAACGGAAAAAGTCCTACACTTCAAAGGTCACTGACAACCTTCGTCCCACTATTCATGTCTCATGCATGTTCACTAAAGGCTTTCATCTGGGTAGGAGGTATAGTTCCTTGGCAAAGTGCTAACCTAGAACATATGATTCAGCCACATCCCCTCCCCCACCCCCACATACACACTAAAAACTCTAGAGGCAGAAAGGCAGAAGCCCTGAGGTATTCGGGGAGTCACAGCTGATTGCCCTGAATGTACTGTATGCTTAGTTGAAGGAGGAAGGTTAAACATAATACTGTAGGGTGCATCCGTACCAGACATTGAGTTAAACTGGGTATGCAGGACTGAGGATTCCGACTCCATCGAAAGGGAGAGGGGGCACAATAAACAAGTAAATAATAAACAAATGTAAATTATGAAAAGAGGAAGAAAACAGAAAGCACAGGTACCCTTAGATCTGGAGCACAGAGACACAGGTGAACAGGTGAATGCTGAACAGTGCAAACTGGCAAGCGGTGTCGGTGAATGGGTCCAGGTTCTGTTCCAGACGTAGCAGCAGTGACGCGATGGCAGATTTACAAAGGGAAGGAGTAGGTTTGCTATACGGTACTTTAGATATGAGGTCAAAATACCCTGAGATTTGTGAAAACTTGAAAGTAAGCTGAAAGTAAGAGAAATGGATCCTTGAGGAGCTAAGATTAGTTCAAGATTCAGTAGAGTCTGTCACATGATTGAACACTTGAAATTATTTCTGTTTCGATTCTTGTATTTATTGGCTCTATATAATTAGGAACCCCTGAAAAAACAAGTACCAAGAGCTTCTCATACAATTAGGATTTGACTTTGGCAGTTGTTAAAATCTACCTACTAACATATAGCTAAAATGATATCCATTCATTGTTATTTCCTATGTTGTGTGATTCACTATGTATCTTAGTGACTACTACTAGGGCTGGAGAGATGGTTCAGTAGGTAAAATGCTTACTGCACAAGAATGAGGACCAAGTCTAGATAACCTAGCACCCACCTGAAATCGGGGCCCATGTGGCTGTAACCCCCGAGCTGGCAGGGTAGGTGAGACAGGATGATCCCTGGAAGGGGCTTGCTGGTCACCCAGTCTAGCCCAATGAGGGAGTCCAGTAAGAGACCCTACCTAAAAATATTAGGTAGATTCAGGCCCTTTTGAGACCGTTGTGTTCTACATATATATATAGGCAGCACTAAATGTATGCAATGGGTATTAAATTTTTAAAAAAAAAGCACAAGCACCATGTAGTTAGGAGGGGAAAATAGTGGGGAGGGGGTAGGAGAAATTGGACACATGCACACACACACACATAAGCAAACAAATGATTGCTTTTGGTGAGGATAGAGTTGGTTAGTTTTAAGTTGAATTTCTTTAAGCATTTGTGTTTTCCTTAAACATCCATTTGAATTTCTACTTAATTGATTACCTGCTGAGCTTGTATGGAATGTGTTTGCAACCTTAAATTAGGTAAAAGCTACATAAGGCTTCAAAGACTTAACAATGGACATGTTGCCTTTAAATGTCACTATTTCATTGCATGTTTCCACCATCAACAGTACCAAGACTCATAGTTAGGGTATAGTTAGCACTTCACAGCAGTAAAGGTGAAGCCTGAAATTTACCATTTAAAGGATTGTTTAATTTTAATTAATTAGAATTAACTATTTTTATTTAATTGAAATTTTCATGATCACTTAAGAACTGTGTTTATTTTTTCACTGTTGGTGGCTTTCCACAATGCTAGGAATTAAAACTCCTTGTACATGCTAGGCTAATACTCTACCACCTGAGCTACTTAGTACCCAGCCCAGAATTCTAACTTTTTTATATACATTTGTGTGTTGAAGTGGAGGTAAGGTGTTTGGATTTTTTGTTTGCTTGTTTTTTGTTAGTTAGTTTTCTTTGTAGAGGGTCTGTCTCTGTGATCCAGCCTAGCCTGAAACTGAATACGTATCGCAGACAAGCCTTGAACTCATGGTGGTCTTTCTGCTCCAAGCTCTGAAATGATGTGATTCCAGGTAGCTAGAAGCCCGGTCAGACTGTACCTTTTTCCTGTGAATAACACAGTGTGTCTCAACTGTCACATAGATCAGAATCCTATGAATTACTGTTGACATGCCTTAAGGTCCCAGAACTGCTGTTCCAGAACTTTGCGGAAAGGCTGGGAATCTAGTTTATAAGTCGGCTGACACGGAAATGACCCTGGGAGAACCACTTCCTACTGTAGCCCTGTTACTCTCTCTGGATTCCCAGTGTTTTCTTTTTTTGAATACATGAATTTCTCTTAAAATTGAATAGTCTACTTTGGTTCTTGAAAGCTAGTAGTCTGTAAAGCTTCTGTAACATCCAGTTAGGTAAAAGGATTGTCTCATATCTCCTCTATCTACAGGATTGCATTTACCTGTGAGGGGAAAAAACTCAGTAATCAAAATAAAAAACCAAAGTACAGCAGGTCTGAGGAAAGTGACTTATCTTTTAACAAGTGTATAGCTGGTTCATGTTAACCAAGCACTAGCAGATACTAGAAAACTGTAAATTAAAAGTCTTTTATGCAAATGATTTATGGTTAAGGCTTATCAGATCCTTAAAACAAATTAGTAAAAATGCTAAAAGAGCAAGAATTTTAGTTAGCAAAACAACAGTTAAACGTAAAACCAATTCAAGTCCACTCTGATAAAGCAGATGATAAACACTAATTTAAAAGAACCTTACAGGACTTAAGATCTGAAGAGCTTTACAGAGTTAGTTTTGCAGCCGGCTTTCCTGCGGAGATACTATTGTCACTCATTAGGAGATGTCTAAAAATGCCCTGGCTCTCATTGGTATGAGACTTGATGTTTGTATCATGCTAAGTGCTGAGAAGCATAAACTCAGGGTTACTTACAAACAACCTGCACAGGCATTTATATGTATTATGATGTTCTACGTTTGGCTAAGATTGGGAGGTCAGCACTGTTACTTGAGGATACCTCAATCTTAAAAGATAAAAATGATAGCATTTTAAACTAACAGTTTGGCTATGGTTGGTAGTTTTAATCAAGTAAAATAGAAGCAATCTATTTATGTGTCCTGTAACTAGAAGATCTTTCTCCTTGTATTTTAGGTTTATTTCATGTGTGTGTTGCCTGCATGTTTGTATGTACAACACGTGTGTGTTATTGCATACAGACCAGAATGGGAAATTGGATCCCCTGCAACTGGAATTATGAGTGGTTGTTAGCCACTATATCAGTGCTGGGAAGTGAACCCAGGTCCTCTGCAAGTAAGCTCTTCTAACCACAGCCATCTCTCCAGCCAATCTTTGCATTTAAAAAAAACATTATATATGTAAGGGACTGGAGAGATGGCTCAGAAGTTGAAAGCGCTTGTTCTTGTAGAGGACCAGAGTTCAATTCTCATCGCTCACATCAGGTTGCTCACAAGCACTTACAACTGCCCCTGTTCCACACACATACAAAATAATTTTTAAAAACTGTCTGAGAAAGTTCCAATTTGCTAATTTATTTCTGGAAAGCCAAAAAATTATTGGGTTAGTCAATTTACCTTAGTTTTTGTTTTTAAAGTATTTGGAGATTGATCTAAAAATATTTCTCCTCACCTTCCTTTTTTCCTCTAGAGAAATGGCCTCATGTAGCCCAGGTTGGTGTCAAACTCATATGTAACCCAATCATGTTGTTGAACTTTTGAGCCTCCTCCTCTATCTTCTGAGGGCTGAAATAACAGATATCCATCCTCATGCCCAGTATATATAGTGCTGGGGATCAAACCCAGGGTTTCCTGCATGCTAGTCAAGCACTACTAACCGAGCTACAAGCCCAACCATTAAAACTTCTTAAGAGAAATACAGATTTAATAAATAAAAGGGCAAGCTGGTCAAGTTCAGAACATGTTAAAGAAACTGCTTTTGGACAAACAGCTTAGCTTCATTCACACAAGCCCATTAGTCATTGTTTATTGTTATATGCTTATAATTAAACTTGATTTTTTACTTAAAAAAAAAAAACTGCTTAAGAGGAGTCATCATGGTCACTCAGTTGGTAACAGCAGTTGCCACCAAGCCTGATGACCAGCTCAGGAACCACATGATGGAAGGAGAGAACTACTTCCCAAGAATGTTCTCTGACTTCCACACATGCTGTGGCAGGCGCATACACCCATACAAATACATCCTCATACAATTCTAAAAATTCCAAAAAAAGTCTTTTAAAGGGAAATGTTAAAAATGTAACATCTCACCATCATATATAAAAAATACAATTGAAGCCATATTTTTCTAGCTTTAGTACTGTCCTGCCAGGCGACTTCTGCTGCAAAGTATAATTTGATTTCAAATGGAAGATGACAAAACGCCCTGGCTCGCCAGTGTTCCCTTGGTGATTAAGTAATTACCCATAGTTTAAAGATTAGATTGCAGTGTCGTGCTGTGGTGGGAAAGCCTTGTCAGAGTCTTTCTAAGTCTGTCCCTGGTCAAACAGTACAAGGTCTTCTGCCTTTGATGCCATGTGCTGTCTCAGGAAGTTCACCCCGACTCTCAGTACCTTGGTTTCTATTGCTATAAGGTGACTTTCAGTTCTGACATCTACTAAGGTGGTAGGTCCTCACCCAGTTGTGTTTAGTCATGCTGTGGGTGTCTGTAGAGTCCAAGTTTTAATATCATATTTCTTGCGATAATTAGGTGGTTGTCTAGCCCATATCTGCTTCCTTTCCAGCTAGTTACTCTAGGCCCAGAAGTAAAATGATTTGTCCAGCAGCACCTAGTCCAGCCTTGGCACATTGAGTGTGTTGTGTATGTCCTCCATCGAGTCAGTCGATATGCAAACCAGCTCCTAATGCACCTCTTTACTTATGTTTGTGCATTTGCTGGAGCTCTGCTTTTGACTCTGATTTTTAACTTTTAATATTTAGAAGTCTTCTAAACAGTCCCGGAAATCTCCAGGAGATGAAGATGATAAAGACTGCAAAGAAGAGGAAAACAAAAGCAGCTCTGAGGGCGGAGACGCCGGCAATGACACAAGAAACACGACTTCAGACTTGCAGAAAGCTGGTGAAGGGGTGAGGATGTGCTGATGATTTCCTTATCTCCTGCTAACCTAGAAGACATTGCCCTGTGGAGTCAGTGTCCATGGCTTAGCCTTAGTAGACATGCGGTTTGTTGTATCCATTCACAAACCTGAATGAGCGGTCAGATGTTTAGAGTCTGAGGACAAAAGAGCGCCACGTGGAAACTGTACCTTCCTGGAAAATTGGAGCTCTGAATATTTGTTCTTTTTCAAACTACTTTAGCAACTACAAGTATTTTAAAGTAGTTTGCAAGTTACTGAAACTGAGATTTAACAGTTCTGTTTCTTGACTCACAAGGTCAGTAGCATATCCAAATTAGAATATAAGTATTCAAGCTGGATCTGAGTGCTGATATTTAAAAGACTCACAGGACTTACTTTGACTCTAGTTGATTTCTGTTGACTTTGGCATTGCAGGCAGGTCCACATTTGTGAAAGTGGTAGGAAGGGAATTTGTGCACCTGGGCCTTTCCCATAGCACTTTTCTCTGTAGACCAGTTGTCGTCACAGAATAACCTATGAAGGCTGAGCACTTGAGAGCACAGCCCTGGCCCAACAGCACTGACTCCCAGCAACTGCCCTTGATGAAATCGTGGGTGAGCCGTGGAGCCTGGGAAGTGCGCTGCCCCTCTGTTCAACTGGTTCTCTATCCATTCTCGCCTGTCCACTCCGGTCCCGCTTGCCTGTCAGCTTTCCCTCTTCATCCCACTCACCTGCCATTACTTGGTTGTTCTCTTACTCACACCACGCAGGTTAGGCTTCTGCAACCTCCACCTCTTTTTCCTCCTCTCAGCTTTTGAAACAGGGTCTTGCTGTATGCCCCGTCTGACCTAGTACTCACTGTGCAGCTCAAGCTGGCCTCAAATTCATATTACTCATGCTTGAACCTCTTGAGTGCTGGGTCTACAGGGTACATCACCAAGCTTGGCTGTCTTCTTCTTCTATAAGTCCCCTTCTCTCGCAGCATTTAGTACCATGCAGCTCTTCTCTCCTCCCAACTCTCACCAATCACCGTTCTCTTCTGTTCCCCTCCCTCTCCTAGAGCTCTCCTGCAGTCTGCCATGGTATGCTTCCTTAAAAGTTCACACATCCACGGGGGCGGGAGCATGCCTCTAATTCCAGCGCTTGGGGGCAGAGGCAGGTGGATTTTCTAGTTCGAGGATAGCCAGGGCTACACAGAGAACTCGTCTCGAAAAACAAACAAGTTCCTATTTCAATTTTTATTAACATTGTTCCATGTGGCTTGTTTATAAACATTTAATGATGGTATTTACTCACTGCTGTGCTTTTAAGTTCATTTATTTGGTTATATGTAGCAGCAAGTTTGATTTTTTTTTTTTAATTAAAGTTCTTACTCATGGGGAGTGCTGTTACAGCTTGCCATACATAGTTCATGTATGGAGGTCTCAGGACAACTTTCAGGGATCTGTATTCTCACATGAATCCTGGGATCAAGCTCAGATCTTGGGCTTAGCAAAAGTACTTTTACTCACCAAGCCATCTTGCCAGCCCTTATTCATTTTTCAGTGCTGTGTAATGCTCAGGTTATATAACATATAATGTTAGCAGTATGCCAAATTTATATATTCAGTCTACTGCTAATGGGTTTTTGTGCTATTTCCAGCTTTGGGCAGTTCAAAACTATATTGCTATAAGCATTGTGTCTCCTAGCGTACATGCTTGAGTTTTCTTAGTTTGCACTAGAGCTGGAGGTGCTGAAGTCCAGGTTTATGGCTTTCAGGTTTACCAAGTCCCTTTCTGGAGGATTGGCCAGTTTATGCTCAGACCAACAATGCCAACAGTGTATTATTTTGGTGTCATCTGATTTTGGTTTCTGACATTATAAATGGTCATTACAGTATGAATTTGTAATGCAGTGTGATCAGTGATATGTCTCTTTTTATGCTTACCAACTGGCCGTGTTTCTGCTCCATGATACACATTTCCAGGGTTCTGCCTGTTTTCCCATTAGACTTTTTTTTACTTCTTTATAGGGCTTTGCTTATGCTGTACGATACTGTTTAATATTTGTGTCTTATCTATTAACTTTCTTTTGATTTAAAAAAATTACTTTCTTAGTTTTATTTAGTCAGCTCCTCACTTTTCTTCATGTGGTTAGAATTGTCTGTCTTTAAGAATAACCATCGTGCCGGGCGGTGGTAGCGCACGCCTTTAATCCCAGCACTTGGGAGGCAGAGGCAGGCGGATCTCTGTGAGTTCGAGACCAGCCTGGTCTACAAGAGCTAGTTCCAGGACAGGCTCCAAAACCACAGAGAAACCCTGTCTTGAAAAACAAAACAAAAAAACAAAAAAAAAAAAAAACAGAATAACCATCGTAACCATCTACTGAAATCATGTGCCCCCAGCGTAAGGTTCTCTTGTGCTGCTTTGGTCAGTTACCCACTCTACGCTATAGCAGCTTTCTAACAAGTCATGGTATTCCATAAAGCTGATAGATAATGTTAAACTTACTTTTAAATATGGAATAGCCGTGAGCTGGGATAGAATGTCAAATGACCTTGATGCTCAGATTGTTAAGAATGATTAAGCACATGGATTATCAAAGGAACAGTTGCTGGAGCAGTGTCCTGTACGAGGGAAAAGGCACAAGATAAGTACACGTGAGGGAGGGAGGATTAGGGCACAGATACACATAGTTGGGGACTTGGGAGGAGAGCTTATCAAAAATTCTTGCGATTGCTTCTATTTTCTAAAGAAACAAGGTCATGACCTGAGGAAATGCAGGAAAAGTGCTGAGGTTTCACAGAAGAGAAGAGGTTTAAAAAGGCCTGGAGAAGAATAGGAGGGTGAGTGGACTAGAGAAATGAGGTGGTTGCTAAGGAAGCGGGACTCACTTGGGGCTGGTGGGCATGAACTCGAAGTAAGCAGAGGGAGTGACTGTTTGTTCCAGGCAGACTGAGCTGTGCAGGCACAGAGAACAGAGGTGAATTCAGCTAGAGTTCGGGTCAGGAGGTTGAGGCCAGGGAGCTGCATCAGAAGGGGGACACTATGGAATCCAAAATATGTTAATGTAGTAATTGGAGTTTTTGGTGTTCGGTTTTGTTTTTTGTTTTGTTTGTTTGTTTGTTTGTTTTTGGTTTTTCAAGACAGGGTTTCTATGTGGTTTTGGAGCCTGTCCTGGAACTAGCTCTGTAGACCAGGCTGGTCTCGAACTCACAGAGATCCGCCTGCCTCTGCCTCCCAAGTGCTGGGATTAAAGGCGTGCGCCACCATCGCCCGGCTGGTGTTCGGTTTTTGCATTTTCTTTTACGTTAGATATCCCCTGGGAAGTGTATAGCTGGCCAAGATTTTCCCACTGTTGCTTGGATCTCCGTCTTCCTTATTCTTCCTTTACTGTAACAGGAGCTTGTGGATTTGGTATGATCCCATTTACCAGTCCTGGGATTGTCTGTCAAAGCCTTCAGGAAGTCATTGTCTGTGTCTTGAAATACGCTGCCTGTGCTTTTCTTCACTTTTTTTTTTAGTTTAAGAAAAGTGTTACATACATACATACAATGTGTTTTGATCAAACACTTGCTGTTTCCTCCCCTTCAGATCCTCCCCTATTTCTTGGCACCACTTTCTCCGCTTCATATGCTGTTTTCTCTAACATTTTCAGATTACTAGGTCTTCCATAGAAATCTTTGATTCCATTTTGAATTTATTTCTGTACAGGGTGGGGTGCAGATTCAGTTCTATCTCTTCCAGGAATGTATCCAGTTTTCCTAGAATCACTATTGAAAAGGCACTTTCCTCCTAATACATGTTTTGACAGAAATAAAAACTGGGTGCTTTGTCTGTGTGGTTTTATTTCCAGGTCCTCTGTTCTGTAGTTGCTTGGACTTCATGTCTGTGTTTGCTCTGAGACTGCAGTTTGTGTGTCTCTGTAGTATAGTTTGAGATCGTGGGTTTACCTTCAGCATTATTGTTCCTGTTTAAGATCACTGAGGCTTTGGGGTCTTTACGTTTCTGTATGTATTTTAGGATTGTCTTTTCTAATTCACTGAACAATGTCTTAGAGTTTTGATGGGAATTGTATTGGATATGTGTATCACTTTCAGTAATGTAACCATTTTCACAGTACGGATTCTGCCCATTCATGAGCTTAGATTCCCTGCCATCTCCTGGTTTCCAGTTCTTTCTTTGGTGTCATGAAGTTTCCTTGTGAAGGACTCCTACCTCCTTAGTTAGATTTATTCCTGGGCTTTTTACTTTTCTTGGAACAGATAAGATGGTGTTCTCTGATTCTCATCAAACTCATGATCAGTGTGTGGCAAGTTTTCTGATTTCTGTATGTTGTTTTTGCATCCCACTACTTAATGCTTATCTGGTCTAAGGATTTTTTGGTGAATTCTTGGAGATTTTTTAAGTATAGGATGGTGAGCTGCATATAGGGATGATTTCTTTCTATTTCCTTTTATTTCCTATCTTATGAATAGTAGTGTCCTAAAAGGTGCTCGCATTAGGAATTGGTCTAGTTTCCTTTTGTTGCTGTGATAAAACACTGACCAAAAGCAACTTGAAGAGGAAAGGGTTTGTTCAGCTTACATTTCAGGCCATAATCCATCATTGAGAGAGGTCAGGGCAGGAACTCAAGCAAGCCAGGCGCTTGCAGCGGGAACCATGAAGGCATGCTGTTTGTTGTTCTGTGCACTGGCCTCTCACTGGTGTGTGGTCAGCTAGCTTCCTTTCACAGCCCAGGTCCACCTGCCTGGGGATGGCGCTGGCCACAGTGGGCTGGGCCCTGCCACATCAGTCAGCAGTCAAGACAGACAACCTGATCTGGGTAGTCTCTCGGTTGAGATCCCCTTAGATGGCCCTAGGCTATGTCAAGGTGACAGCTGCTGCTGACTAGGACAGGACCTGAACTAGTCAAGTTTTTGTTTAGCACAATCCCTCAGACCATTTGGATCTCACACAACTTTTACTTGTTTGAAAATCCTGGTTACTACTTCCTCAAATGCTGACCTTTGTGGTATGTTTCAGTCATTCTCTAAATACTACTGACTTTTAGAAGTCTTTAAACATCAATAAGCTATCAATGGAGGACTAAAAATCATACTTTTCACTTAAATAATCAATTTTTATCACTAGCAACAAATACTATTTTTCTTAGGAATTAGAGTCACTATATTTTCATAAAGTGGTCAATTCTAAAGCTTTTTATTAGTGTATCATAACCACACAGATTCATTAGGAAGTTTTTATCCATATACACTATTATTATGTTTATTCAGGCCTGGTCCCCTCCCACCTCATTTTCTCCCGTTCCTTTTTTAAATCTAGAATCTGCATGTGATTTTTTTTTAAAGCCTTATTTGTCTAAGTCTTATTTATATCGTTTTGTTCCAGTCATTTTCCTTCAAACAGCGTAGTTTCATTTTTTTTTGACTGACTAAAACTTGTATGTGTGTCTGTGTGTGTCAGATTTTCTTTGTCCTTTCATAGACCCTAGCATGGTTCCATGACTGGGCTATTGTGAGTAAGTGCCACAGTAAACATGGTGTACAGGTACCTCTACTGTATGCTTTGAGTCTTTGTGTGTGAATTCAGAAATGGTATATATGATCAGCAGTAATTCTGTCTTTTTGTTGTTGCTGTTGTTTAATTTGTATGCATGCCTGCGCATTTTATACCAGAGGGCAGCATTGAAATTCTCCATCACTCTCAACCTTTTAAAAGAAAAAAAAAAGACAATTTCTCACTGAGCCTTAAACTTACAGACTTTGCAGGCTGGCTGGCTAGTGCCCCCAGGCATCTCTGCTTCCTCCACAAGCACTGGCATTGTCCCCAGCTGCCCTGGTGCTGGGGATCCACCCAGTCCTCATGCTGAGCAGCAGGCACTTCCCTCGCGAATCCACCTCCCCAGCCCTTGTCCTTAGTCTTCTGAAAACCCTCCATACAGATTCCACGCAGCTCTGCACTCTGTCTCCCCAGCACTGTGTCCTCACAGCGTTTCTTGTTTATTTCCTCGCTGATAAATGGCCATCCCTCCTGTGGTGAGATATCTTACTGCTCAGTTTGCCATATATCCAAATCTTAACATCAATTTTTTTCACATAAAAATTATACTCCATGAGAAAATCCTTTTGGCTTCTTCCTGCCATATTTTGGGTATCCATTAGCTTTGCTGCCCTGTACAGCCTTTTTCAGTGTGCCTCCCATTAAAGTACCTCAAGGGGGATTCTGATTGGATCCTCTAGATGTCAGTCAGCATAGCCATGGAAGGCACGGAAGGGGATCACAAAGCATGAGCACCACATTGACTCTTTGGGTAGAGGAAGTGTCAGGCCTGGCAGATAGCCAGAGCGCTGTGTCCAGTATGGACACCATCCTGAGTTAGGGTGACTAGAAGAGGACGGTAGCTGGCGTGAGTATTTAAAGCTGTAGCCTCCGCAGCTGCTCCACAAGCCCCCGTTTGACAGTGCCTTATTTAAAAATAGAGAGGTGTGCTCCTGAAGTGCTCGCGCTGGTGCCGTCATCTCTCCGTGCATTGACACTACTCTGAAAGTACTGCTGGATCTGCTGGATCTGCTTCACAGTAGCCTTTAGGATGAACTGGCTGTTAAATGAACTTCCTGCCTCATAGACATAGAATTTATTGCCTTTCACATTATATTAATAAAATATACTTTTAAAGGTTTCTTTGGTTGAATAATAATTTTTTATTATTTGGGTATCTTTCTCCCTCCGAAAGAAGAGAGTCCTCCAAAGTATATGTGAGTATAATCATGTCTAGTATTTTTATTTATTAATAAATAAATCAATTACCAGGCATTGTATTTTTCAGATTCACAGGTTGTAAATATGATTTAAAAAATAAAGATCCACTAGCTTCCTTGTTTGGGGCAGGGGCAGAGAAAGTTAAGAAGTCTTTCCCTGCCCTCTGCGAATGACCTTCTCTCCTTGTGAAGGTCCTGTAGTGACTTGATTGGCTTTGGGTAAGCGGGAACATCCCACATGCATGTGTGTTGCTTGAGTTATCTATGAAGTAACTCAAGCTGCTTTAGGGGAAAATATGTGGGGTCTGATTTCCCTTTTTTATCCATCCCTTGAGAACTAAAAGTTAATATTTTTAGGTTAATGAGATGGAAAACAAAAATAACATCTCATTGGGGAAATATAATCTGACACAATTTAAAGTAGAATCTCAATTTAAATGCAATTCTTGGGTCTACAAGAGGACTCAGTGGATAAAGTTACTTGCCACCAAGTCTGAGGTCCTGAGTCTTGAACCCAGATCCACATGATAGGAGAGAACCTACTCCTGTCAGTTGTCATCTGACCTTCATGTGTGCACTGTAGTGCGCACACACACACACACACACACACACACACACAGACACAGACACATTAAAAAAATAAAATACAAGACTAAATTAAAATTTAATTTTTATGAAACAGGATTATTTAATTTTGCCACATCTATGCAGTATAATGTTAAAAGAGAATTAGACTTTGTTTCATCTTGTATTCTTTTCTTCAGAAGCACAAAGCAGAGACTAGGCACACTGATGCTGTTAGCTTTTGTAACTTGTTATGCCATGTGTACCAAGTAACTAAAGTATTTCGGTTACCTGTGTGCACCCATGTGTACCAGCAGTAGACATGTCCTTGAGGGGCACAACATGCACACTACTGCAGAGAGTAGACAGTTTACTTTGGTTTTGTTTTGTTTGGCTTCTGTTTTTGAGACAGGGTTGTTTCTCTCTGTAGCCCTGGCTGTTCTGGAACTCAGTTTGTAGAGCCCAGGCTGTCCTGGAACACAGAGATCCACCTGTCTCTGCCTCCTAAGTGCGAGGATCAAAGGCAGGCACCACCACGCCCCACTGACAAAGTTTACTCTTCAGGGTTTTTGTTTGTTACAACAGAATGCCAAGAAATTGCCTTTAACTTTTTGCTAGATAAAAAGCAAAGCCTCTGAAGCTGTCTCGCTAAGTATTGCTGCTGCCATAATGCTAATGCTGACTCAAACCCCAGAAAAATAGTGCTGTGCCCAGAAGTGTGGATAGCTACCCTCGTTAGTGTCCTAGCTCATCTAAGGCTTGTTTTATTTGCTTTTTTACAGACCTAACTACCGTAATGAATGCTGCATATTGAGAGAAACCACAAGAAGGTTAAATGTTTGATTGTCTAATTCTTGGATTTGCTATGAACCAACACATAGTCTTTGTTGTCACTGACAGAACCCACCCAGTGTGTGTGTGCATAGTCACATTCCTCTCTGGTCTGAAGGAAAAAAAAGACACTTTGACCTTTTTTAAGGTTATTGACTTAATTTTATGTTATTCGGTTGCATGAAGTTTCCCTTAACCACTAAGAATTATCAAGATTTTTGCACAGACTTTTCCATGTCTAAGCTCCTTTTCCAAGGCAGTTTTGATCATCAGCTGCCTGCCTCTACCCCACCATCATCAAACACTCAGTTAAATAGTAATTCATATTTTTAGATGACTACTCAACATAATACTTAAGGATGGGATTTTCTTTCTAACAGAACCCAAGAACCAACTCCTAGATACATACTGTTTGTATATTGGAGTGGAGTTAAAGTCATCTCTCAGTCTGAAGGCCATGTGTAAACTTTAACCATACTGTACAGTTCCTGTCCTGTATTAGAAGTAGATAGTTGAAACTCACGCTTCTCAACTCATGTTGCTGTGTGCACAACCTGAGTGTGTATGTGAACCTAGTGAGTCTTCTGTGTTATACTCAAATAAAGCAAGGATTTATTTTTCCCAATGCCAATATGATTTGAGCTAATCAATCAAGGTAATGACTGACTTTACACTTGACAGCTGAAATCAGCAAGAGCACTGTGGGAAACAGACAAAACACTGACTCTTGATACAGACTTTAACATAGGCTTTTCTTTTGGAACTAGAATTAGAGTAGTTAACTTTCATCCACAAATGATTATTATGTGTACATTATTGTCGCTATTGTGATAATAGAGAGTCTTATTTATTTTTATGCCAGCTTATACTGTGAGAACACATTAGTCCGTTTGGGTTTCATCCGCTCTGTTATGCTTGTCCTTGGAACATCTTCCGTGTATGTTTGAGGTTTGTAGCTCAAAAGTTTACTGTAAAAAAATCAAAAACAACAAAAAAATGTATTGTTTTACAGAATAAATTTATTGGAATGTATACTGGGAGTAAGGTTTGAGGTTGTAAACAACTGAGTTAGTGTTATTTGGCTTCATATGTGTAATGTGAAGTATTGATGTAATTCCTATATTAAAGCAAAGATTGACAGCCAATTGACATAAGAATTAAGTGTAGGTGAGGATTTTATTTTTTCTTTTTAACTATTCTGGATGTTAGGTTAATTGAAAACACTGGGAGGGACAGGAGGGAATGACAGTGTGACCTGCCTGCATGTCTAAGAGCACATCGCTCCGTGGACCCTGGGTTTATACACAGCCTTATGTGCATCCCACTTTCTTTTGGTTTCTTATTTTGATGAAGAACAAATGAACATGAAGACAAAATATACGAAGATCTAAAAGCCCAGTGTCGTGATGATGAAAGTGATGCTGGGCTGTGGGAGTTGCCCTTTCAGGGCATACTGAGGAGGCTACTGTGCTTTTGGCTTGTTTCTCTGTTGTTCACACACAGTTCCAAATACCAAAAGTTCATTAAGAGACAGGGTGCCACATCAGGTTTTAACTTTAAAAGGTATTTTTTAATTTCAAATATTTTATTTTAAAATTAGTGAAATTCTTCTTCATTGATCACACTAAAACATATGAAGAATGTGGATAACATTTTAAATTGGAACATATAACAGATTTCTTAAATAAAAAGTTCAAAATTTGTCATGAAATGTATACATCAAATGCTTCAAATTTAATAAAGTTTGTCTTCATAAAACAACAAAAATAATTTTGTTGAAAGTATACACAGAAGAGAAATATTACCAGCCACCAGTAAAACAAGTATCCATTAAAGCTACTAATAAGGTTGATTTGTGTCATCTTAGCTATTTAGATTCACAATGGAAGTTTGGATAGCAACTTTTTAAAACAACAGTAATGTACTTTCCTTATGAAGACACTTCAAACAACTTAAGAATATTATGGTGATCTGGCATTTATATTAAGGTTGTCAATGAGTCGTACATTTCATATGAAGAAGTTATTTCTCCAACCTGTATTTGCTGTTTTCAGTTTTTTCATATGCATAGTGAATATGGTTAGTCACTCCTGAATAGTTTGATTCTGTACTGTTTGTAGGCACCGGAGTTGTAACTTTCACACAGTATGTGCAATGTTAAGATCCATGATCACATTCACAAACAGGTTTTGACATATTTCTTCAGTTTCCCTTCAACCAAGAGAATATACCATACACATGCCATTATTCCCACTCACACCCACACCGCAGAGCACAAGTCTGATTCTCGTGTTATCATGGACGGGAACGAAGTACAGCATCCGTTCCATCTAACGGGACCAGAGATAACGTGAGGTATATTCATTCCACCTTCTCATCTGCCTTTGTTCTCATGAAGAACTCGGGACTGTAGGTGCAGCGGTAGGCCAAGAGCTGAGGAAGAACGCCGTATGCTATGTTTAATGCAAAAAACAGGACTTTTGCTTCTTCGGGGACTCTGTAGACATAAGCAGTTCTAGCATGGAGAGATGCACCGATGTGGGAAAACTGCGCCTGTTCGCATCAAAACAAAAGAGTAGCATGAGACCTGACTCTTGGATTAGTGATGAATTCTGGGTGACTCACTCAGACCACATCCCCTCAAAATCTGCCTTACAAGCAAAATACCTGTAGATAACCCACAGTCTCAATACATAGCCTTTCACTTAAAGGTCATTCTTGATATAGCTATTAAATAATGCCTCCTATTTCAAGTGTGATTTTATCGTTCCAGGGTTTTGTTTTGTTTTTTTAACCTATCTAGTGCCCAATACCAAACATTTCTAATTTTAATTCTAGGAATACTACATAGACACTCAGCTAACTCATAAATTGGGTTCCAATTAAAAATGAAGTTGAGCTTCAAAGCTAAACTGTAGTTGGTATAACGAGCTACGTACAGAGGAGCACTGAGGATCTCCGTTTCAGTGATCAGACTGACAGCTGAAGCAAGTTCTCAGAGCCCCATCAACGTGTTGTTTTGTTTAGTCATGTATTTAGTTTTGCACAACTTAATAGCACTGTGGTTGTTTGTAAGATACACTTGTTAATAGCTTGGCTGTCGATAGCAGTATGATTATAAAATGACAAAACACATACACAGGCCACCTTTTTAAACCGGACAGAAATCTACTCAGAATTTTGAGTGGCCAGCATAATCCAAGATTCAGAACAGAAAGGCAAGACCTCCCTCTGTTTTATATACACAGACTCTATCCAGAATGTGCCTGCCTGCTGAGTTTTGCTTGACTTGTTTGTTTTTAGTACTTTTCATAAGCACAGAGAAAAACTATTAGAAAAGTAATACAGGCCATAGCAGGATTAAAAAATCAAGAAAATATTTTCTCAGAAAACTTGTGTTATAATAAAATACAAACCCAAGTCTGCATTTTTATGTTTGGCTGAAATTCAAGGTACACATGAATAAAGACTGAAGATTTAAATGTAAGTCATAGTAACAAGGTGGAGGGTGCTGTAAAGAATGGCTCCCTAGAGAATGTTCTTAATGTGTGTGCTACCTTAATTTCCTGCACTGACTGTGCTGTGGATTAGCAGATAGAAGCGCTACTTAGCATTCGATTTGACCTTAACAAGCAAAGGGCAAGCTTTTATAAAAAAGCATGTTTGGGAATTTGTATCAATGGCAGATATTTTAATGGGCTATAATTTATAAATTACTGATATATTCTGGATACCTCTAATACGATTTTGCTACTCTGGAGATAAAAATTAAATTCCTGTGGTGTGTTGACAAGGACCAAGAAGTGGATTACCTGCATTGTGATCCACAGGCACTGAGGGGCTCTGCCCTCAGACACACCTCCCTAGGGCAGATGGTCAAAGGCCCAGCAAATGTTTGCATCTCAGGGCTACACAGACAAGAGACCTTGAGTGAAGAGCACTTTGGAGGCTGCCTCGAGGAGCTGTGGTTGTGAACAGTCTGGGAACTCTAAACAAAACCTTGGCTCCTGACGCTTTTTCTCTGGGCCCTACTTTAAATAGCTGTTGATCTGAATATATAACCATTTTCTTCTGGACTAGAGGCCAGTTTTGAACTCTGGTTTTGTCAGATTTGTGGGTTTAGTGATTCTATCCCTATAGATTATTGTGTACATCATAGAACTACCAGAAAAATGGCACCCATGGTTTCCAAGAGTAAGAAACATGCGTTGTGTGCACTCATGTGGGCAAGCCTGCCCAGAAAGTTGGTGAATCGGTGGGCCCTTCCTGCACTACACAGTGCGGATAATACCTCATTCTCATGCACAGTGAGCTCATGGCAACCTTAGAAAGTGACTTCTGTCCTTAGATTAGACTGTGCGCCCATTGGGCAGATACTGTGTCTGATGTTTTCTGTTGCACTTATCACATTGTTAGAGTTCAATAAACGTTCAACAGCAATGGTCTTGTGATTGTCAGCTATGAAAAGAACCTTTAAAGCATTTCTCTATACCTACAGTGGTAGGCATTCTCAGCGTTATTACCAAGGGTGAAGGCTGTAAGACTCCTTACCAAAAGGTGTGGGAAAAGAGCCTGGAGGCCAGTTTTCTGCAGCTCCTGCTAGTGAACAGCGTGTGTTTGTGGCAGCCAGCTGGGCGGGCCCCCAACAGTAGCCTCCTCTAGTATTAAGTGCTCAGGATTCTGACACCGGAAAAGCTGTTTGACTGAAGAGGGTTTCTGTCCCAGACATGCTGGTAAGGAGTGCCCAGCACACATGATCTGTGGAGCTCAGCCTGGGGATGGCACCAGAGCCCAGTGAGGGAGTGATGTGCTGCTGAATTCTGCATCTCGGTTATAGCAGCAGTATCCCGTGATCTGGCCAACACCCTAGTCAGTTCCCTTTGACTTAATTCCAAGTTTTCTACCTTGCGTAAATAAGAGATACTGGGTTTTTGGTTTTTTTTGTTGGTTTGTTTTCATTTTTGTTTTTGTCAGAATGTTTAGAAAGGCAGTGGTGGCACATGCCTTTAATCCCAGGAGGCAGAGGCAGGTGGATCTCTGTGAGTTCAAGGCCAGCCTGGTCTACAAGAGCTAGTTCCAGGACAGGCTCCAAAGCTACAGAGAAACCTTGTCTCAAAAAAAAAAAAAGAAAAGAAAAAGAAAAAAGAAAGGTAAAATGAGGTAATGAAAGTCAGCAAAGGCTACATTGCGATAGCTCCTATTCCTGATAGAGAAAATTGGGAAAGGGTGACCCTATCCTAATCCCTCTCCCCCATGATTACAACCCTGGCTCCTGAATGTTAGCGGGCAAAGCCTCTAGGTAGCAGACCCGATAATATAAGTAGATGATCCAGAACCTTAGGGTTTTCTGAGTAACCGCATAGGTGCTGATAATACTCCAGAAACACATGGCCAGATTGGATTCTTTATCCAACACAAGCTCAGTTACAGGGCCCACCTCAGGTGCGGTGTGGTGGATACAAAACTAAATACCTGCTTATGATCTGGCACCCTGTTGACAATTGACCTTTTAATTCCTTCTCTATCAAAGCAGAAACAAGAAAGTGAACCCCAAGGTCAAAGGTGCTTAGTAATAAAGTACCAGATGTGGATGGCAGAAAGGTTTGTATCTGAAGGAAAAATGCCATGAAACTTAGTTCCTGGAAAGTCAGCGCTTTTCATCTAGACTGTCCACAGATGTACCTCCGAATCCCTGTACTGCCAGGAGTGGAGGAGGCAGTGAGCTGGAGAGATGTCACCGGACTCGGTGTCCCCCTCCGATGGATGTGGGGTTACGTAAGTCCCACTAGGTATCTGTCCCTAAGCCTTTGCCCAGGTTGTTTTTATTTTGGGAGTGTCATTATATGTGAGACGCACAATGGCTAAATTGTCAAAGAATTAATCACAGAAGGCATTTTTCTCTAAATCCTTTCTGAGACTATACCAATAATAATTATAAACGGGAGTCAGTAGCTTTTACGTGTCAGGCACTATGCCTAGCTCTTTGGCGCCTGTTTAATCTCAGCAACTTCACAGACAATTGGTGATCAAGAGAAGTAAAATATACCAATATACGACAAGGGGCTCGAATCAGCCCTTGCTGTTAATCACATTGACTGCATCAACTCGGGCTTTTGTTTGTTTCATTTTCAATGATTCTAACAACGTGCAGTCAGCTGTTGGCATCCAAGGAGGATTGGTTACAGGACCTTGGGACATCCCATATATGTCAAAATCCTTGGATCCTCAAGTCCCTTTTGTAAAATGTGTTTGTATCCTATGTACATCTTTCTGCATGTCTTCCTTTAGATGACTTCAGTACCACACAGTGTAAATGCAGTATAAGCCGTTATGCTGTGTCTTTTAGGGAACAAGAAAAGTCTCCTCTTTGTTCAGTACTGATAACCATCGTAGCCTCAACACGGGTCTCCTAAACTGGTTAACCTGCACATAACAAAGAACTGACTGTACTCCAGCTGACGGGAAACACTGACAGGGTCTGACATCCTTCCAAAGTTATCCTACAGCTCCAGTCCTATAGCAGGCACTGCACATGGAGAGAGATTGTACTTTTAAGTCCCCCAGTGAAAACTGACCTAAAATATAGCCTGATTTTTATTTTTAAATATCTAACTGAGCTCGTACTTTCTGAAAGCAACAGATTTGGGGGGTTCCTAACAGTCTGAAATCAAGGACGCAATAATCACCCAGTGTGTCTTCCAATGACCTAAGAAAATTTGAAAAAAATTTTTGTGCCTATTCTGGTCTCCATGGCACCAGGTCCACAAATGGTATATAGATCCACAGACAGGCAAAACACCCATATACAGTAAGTTAAAGAGATTCCAGGTTTTTGACTTGAGCTGACCAATAGAAGCTGAGGCTATTGCCACTGACCAAGTAAATGGGCAATAGGAGAAATGGGGAGAACCAAGAGTCCTGTTTTTAGTCTGACATGCTACCTGGGCATGGTAGGAGGTTGAATCAGGAGGATTTTGAGATTAAGGCGTTCGGGGCTACAAAGCAAGACTATCAAACAGGAAAATAGGTTTTCTTTTGTAGACTGACGCCTGCTTTGCAAATGTGTTTAAAAAGTCAAGTGTTCCTGTTTTCATTTCAGAAGTTTCTGAAAATGCCTCCAGAAATCGGATGTGCTAGTGAGGCATCCAGGTGAAGTGATAAGTTTGGAATTAAATTTAGGAGGCAGCAGTCAGGGCTGAAGAGACTGGTCACCAGCTTCCAGCTGACATCAAAAGATGGAGAAACAAACAAAAAAAAAAAAAGATGGAGAAACAAAAGCCCACGCTGAGGCACCGAGGATCGGGATTCAGAGGTGGACAAAGAGCAGAGCAGCTAAGCGTCTCCAGGAGTATTTCTTCAGCAGGTTTTATCTGCTTTTCTATGATTATTCTAAGTATGCAAGGAAGGATTTAACCCAGTGACCCTGTAAGTACTGTATTTTTTCAACAATACGAATTCTGGGGTCTTTCTGCCATCCTGGTTACTGTCCCCTTGATTGTATAATCACTGTGCTTTGCTTCCCGGTGGACCCAACTCTCATTTCCTGGTCAGTGTTGCTTTCATCCGGCAGGGACTTGGCAACGTGCCAGAGCGAGGGATGAAGGGCAGGCTCAGCTTTCTTGAAACAGAACTCACACTAAACCAGCCTCCCTGGTTCTGTTAAGGATTGTATAGCAGAGCTCTGTACTCTAGACAGAACAGACAGCCTAAGCGTTAGAGCGTTCAGCTCTCATCAGTAGTCACGTTCATAGATCGGGAAACAGTCCTATAACAGCAGTGTACCTTGCTACTTGTGTGACCCCAGGACACCCTGGTTTTACGAGGACTATATCTACCAGGCAGCATCATTAGGGTGAGAGAGAGTGCGTGTATGTAGCAGAAGTGTCTTCCAGTGAACTAGAAAACGATTTCCAATTCACTGAGCGGAGACAGGTTTCATAATTCCAGTGACAGCTGGTCACTAAAGAACTTTCTCGAAAGGGAATATTCTAGCCCAGCGGTGGTGGCCACTTCATCAATCCCTGCACTTAGGAAGCAGAGGCAGGTGGCTCTCTCTAGTTCGAGGCCAGCCTGGTCTGCAGATCAGGACAGCTAGGGCTGTTACACAAAGAAACTGTCTTTGAAAAAAAAAAAGTGGGAGAGGGGAATATTCCTATCTGAGTACCTGAGCTAGACCTCCCGCGTGGACCAGCGTTATGTCAGGCATCCATGAGCATCCAGGGACCACCAAGCCATACAGTGCAATCACAAAGTAAGGGACAGAATAGAACATGTACGCCAGCATCTGTGTGACGAAGAAGTGAGCAAGTTAACAGCTTGACCTTAACGAAAAGCAAAAACATGAAACGTTTTCAAAGATAAATGCTAACTCTTTTTCCTGTGTAGAAACCTCATTTTCTCATTTAAAATAGGAGAGAATTAACTTTAGGAAAACCTTAGACTTCGTAACTACTTGACCTGAATTTTAGGATAAGCAGCAGGGTCCTTTAGGTAGGGCTCTTGAAACTGTGCGTAGAGTCGGCAGAGCTCAGCTGGGCAGTCCAAAGCAATCTAAGGACAAAATGAGTTCATTATAAATAGTCTTGTCTGGTTCTTGGGTTTGCTGATGAGGCTGTGTGCCAGCTTCAGTCATAAGCTACTGTATCTTTCCAGGCTCATCAGTAACAGGAAAAACAGAAACATTCCGACTTCTCTAAAGGACTAAGCCTAGGTTAACCGTGAAGCATTGTTCTTGGGACAATGATAGTCACGGCTTCAGCATCTAGGTTTAGTGAGCCAAGGCACAGCTCTTTGTATAGATGACAAGTTCCACTTGGGAATAGGTAGCCAACTAGTCTCCACCAGAAGAAAAATAACACTTGGGTGCCAAATTAATCATACTATGCTTTGCAAGATTCAAAAATAGCATCTGCCTCTCTCTCTCCTGTGCCTCCCAGAGCATATGGTCCTTGGAAGCAGCAAGGGATGCTTCGAAAGCGGGGTCCTCCTGTGGAGCTCCGCCCACTTCAGGAAAGAGCAGAGCACAGATGTAGTCCCTGCAGAGCAGACTCTGGGCCACAGATTAGATGTTGGCACGCCACTGAGACACTTCCCCCTCAGGCACCATTCCTCATGTCCTCGGCTGTCTGTCACTGACATGTCCTCCTAGATGACAATGTAGATTACAGGCCAGCCGTGGAGCTGGACCTTTGCCCAAATGCTCATCTGGGGAAGTCCCGCCCAGCACACACATCTTTCTCAGGGGCAAGAGAGAAAAAAGAAGGACGAAGAAGGATGCAGTTGGATCTCAGTATGTGGTGGTGGTTGAGCTTGGGAATTAGCACAGACCAACCAAAGAACAGGTTCCATGACTTGTTCTCAACTCGTGCAATACCAGCAAGGTTAGAATAGTTAGTGATTGTTTCAGCTGAATATGATTAGCAAATAATTCCTAGATATTAAAATATTTCTTCTAAGAATAAATTATAAAGCTGGGCCATTGTGAAGAATCACTGATGTATTAAGGAAGACAGTAACAATAACAATAGCTGTTTATTGAACACTTTCTTTGTGCCAGGCCCTGTACGAAGAGGGTAGTCACTAATCTTCAAAACGATATAAGGTAGGCACTCGTAGTTTACGGGGAAGAAAATGGTAGGTCGTAGAGATTGACATTTGCACAGCTAGCAAACGGGTAGTGTTCCCTGCAGCTCCACAGAGAAAACGTATCTGCAAAAACAAGCCACACACAAAAACTGATACACAGAGAAAAACTCCAAACCTGAGCCTAATTCAGCATTACCCTTAGCAGTGAGATGCTCACATGACCCTGCATGGAGGGAACTGTTGCCTGGGAACCTCTTCCTTGATCCCACCGTTCCTACTCCTGAGAGCACCTGGATACTTTGGGCCACAGCTGAATTGAGGTCTTAGGGTATCACCCTGACCAAAGATGGTTGCCTTTAAGTCGGGGCAGGGGAGATCAAGGAAAACAAAAGAAAGTCTCTAATCGCCAGTTTTTCAGGTATCCTAAAATAAGGAAGATATTTCTAGATAGAACTTGATCTGAGGACCCAAAGGAGGAAGTATGAGAGCCCAGGACAAGCCTTCCCTTGTGAGTGGGGGTATGCAGAGAACTGCAGAAAGCTAGTCCAGAGCTCCAGGCTGTGGCAGGAAGAAGAGTTTGTCAGTATGGCTTTAAATACATGCACACACTATACATACACACACAGAGACAGAGACTTTTTTTCCCATTTGGAATAGTATATTGCTATTTTGATACTATGCTTACCAGGCCTCTGAACAGGCAAAATCCAGTCGCCAAGAAAAGACACACAACCAATATGAGGTCAAATGGTCTTCTCAGGAGGGCCTTTGCTTGGGCTTCTTGAAGAACCTAAAAGAGAGTTTGTTGCTGGAGCATAATCCCGAGGCCAGGGCCAAGCCTGCGGCAGTAAAGGCCAAGGTGATGAACAGTGAGTCTGGGAGATGCTCAGTCAAGAGTACCTCGCCTCCGTGCACTCCCTCTTCCATGAAGCGAAAGCACTAAGGTGATTTGAGGCTCATCCCACGCTAGTCCATATCTTTTCTTGAAACTACGTTTTTATGTTATAAAAGTAAGCTACATGCATTTGAAAAATGAAACTTTAGAATGTAACCATAAATTGCCTCACTGCTGTCAGTGGTTGATACACACTCCTGGTCATTTATGGTTTTGGTTGGTGGATTGGTTGGTTGGTTGGTTGGTTGGCTCTCTGAGACAGGATCTCAACTACGTGGCGGAGATAGACCTGGAACTCCCTGTGTAGCTCAAGTTAGCCTCAAATTCATGATTATCCTGCCTCCTCCCCCCAAGTTGCTAGGAGTAGATTTCATGTGTGCCACCATCCTGCCTGACTCTTTCATATACACACACATACACACACATACATTTATGTGTAAATACATATATACTCACGTATAACCTTGTTTGCAGAAATAGAATTTAGAATATAAACAGTTTTGCATTCTTCCCTGAACAACTCCCTGTGAGCACGTGCTCACGTGATTAAAGTTGAAAATACTGTAAGGAGACCATAATTGCTGTTCTCCCAGTACAAGACACTGGGGTATTTTTTTTTCACTCAGACACTGAATGTTGAGGAGAGTGGCCCTGCACAGAAATCCCCACAGGGTGTTAGCGATTACGGTCTCAGGACAGGCCCCTATGTGGAAATGAGTTGGATGCATGGCTAAACCACCCTATAGAGTGAGTCTGCCGCTCTTGGGTTTTGTTGGCCAAGTATGGTTCCTAACAGCACCTTGTCATAACGCCCCCATGGCTGTGTTTTACCCTTCAAGCGACAACACGTGGTTCTGTGCGTCTTGTTATGCAAACACTGCTCACACACAAGCAGTGGAGCCGGCCGACTAGGGTTACTTTCTTCTACCAGCCACTCACTCCTCAGAGAGATGTACGCGTGTGGCTGCTGTTGGCCTGAGTTTACACAGCAGTATCTACATATGTACAAGTTAACCTCATGTAAATTGTACTGTACGTAGAGCGAGAAATAAACTTCAGTGGTGGAGTGGTTGTTTGGCACATGGGTGGCCATGAATTCAACCCCAACACTCCCCTAAAAAGGTATTTTAATAAATTCTAGTTGTAAAAATAATTTTGGCCAGACATGGTGGCACATGCTTTTAATTCCAGCACTCGAGAGATAGAGACAGGTGGATCCCTGTGATTTTGAGGCCAATCCGGACTACATGGAGAGTTCGAGGCCAACTAGGGAGGGCTACGTAGTAAGACCCTGCCTCAAAAATAATTTTAAAAAATAATTATTTTAAAGTAAAAATAGTTCCGTCAGGTGAGTAACCATGTTCTAACTAGTACTTTGTTCTCGCACATCAGATAGCGTTAGAGGACCCTACCCAAGGATCTCATATATAAACTGAAGAGAAAGAAATCTCTCAGAAAGGAAGACTTAAGCAGACCTGCGGGGCTAGCATTGCTTCATACCGACCACCTTGGCCATGACTGGAAGGGGAGGAGTCTTGGGAGTACTCTTGCAGCCAGTGTCCTGGCCCCGCACCCCCAGAGGTCAGATCCCTTGGCCCTCGTGCACTGCCTTGACCAGCTCAGCAGTAAGTGGGATTACCAAAGGAAGTGTCAGTGCTCACACACAGGCCACAGACAAGCCAGGCAAACCATAAGCCTGGACTTCCCCTGTCACGCTAACACAGAAGGGTGACGAGAGCCAAGGTGATCCCTGCGAGGGACGTCCCCCAAAGTGTAGCCTGGACAGTGGGTTAGGGGGCAGTGGAAAGAGGCAGATGGACTCAGATGGAATCAGACCATCTGCCTCATTGATGAAGATGCCAGCAAATGCCAAGCTAGCAACACAGCCCTGGGGATTGAACACCCCAAATGCTCTCTCCTCGCAGGAGGTGTGAGCCCTGTGACCCCGAGGACATGGAAGAGTTACCGGCTGCCAGAGAGCTAGCCCGAGTTTACACACAAGTAGCCAACTGGTTACACTTCGGTGTGATAAAATTACCTTTGAGGGATAATTATAGTTTTCTGATGGCTGACTGTAGATCCTGAAGCCAGCCCAGACCGGAAGACACGTATATGGTATGCTTAAGAAGAATGCAGGGCAAATCCGTGTTCCATATTTTCCTATTTTAAAGAGAGAGGAAAAAAATGTATAGCTCAATAGGATAAAATTTTTAAAAATCCTAAAAGAGAGAGGAAAAGATAGAAGTCTGTTCATGTATACACACACTGATATTTAAGCTACTTCCTGCCTCAAATCACATAAAATGTTGCTATGAACCAGGCACTATTTTTATCAGGTAAGGCAAAAACCGTCACAACCATTAGATGTTTCTTAACAGTGATGTCCTGTTTACAATATGAAAAACTATATTAACACACATATACTAATTTTCTGCCTGTCTAAATGACTTCTTTTACTTCAGCCTGGAAGAATCTTTATTTCCGGTGCATTGACCATGGGTTCTCATGGCGCATGAAAAGTGACATGAAATACAAAGAGCTGCGAGCAGCGTCCACGCAGCAAATGCCGATTGCTTAGCTAACTTCAGTGCACACTTCTCAGCATGGCTCCAAAGCACTTCTTAAAAGATAGGAGCACCGAGGGGCTGGAAATAACTTAGCAAAATAGCTCTTATAAGCTTGCAATCTATTATAAAAAGCTGAAAAAACAACTTCTCTATCTAAAAACCCCATCATTGCAAAAGATAAACAACAAGGAAAGCGTGGCTGTTAAAATAGGGCTTCTTACCTACAATGTTTCCAGGCACAAAGACCACAATGCTCATGATGATGGAGCCCACCCAGTATAGGCCGATGGTTCTGTAGCTCTCCCTGCAACGAAACACGTTCACATGAACACACACACACATACATGCGCACAAAACAAAATGTAATTAAAAAAATAAGGTAGAGAAGAAATTGAGGAATACTCCCAACATCACCCTCTGACCTCGACACTAGCCTGCATGAATGAGCGCACACTCCCACACAGGTAACACACACACACACACACACACACACAAATGAGTGCACACGCCCACACAGGTAAAGCGCATGCATACACACACAGAGTTTATTGTTGATATCACATGTTTGTTTATTAGTTGAGACAGGTTCTCACTATGTAGCCCTGGCCTGGAACTCACTCTGAAGACCCTCCTGACCTACAACTCAGAGATCCTCATTCCCCACCCCCTGAGTGCTGGAACTAAAGGCGTACACCAACACGCCTAGAGAGATTGTTCTGTTTTGAAAACATAAGCAGAAACCTAAGGGATCACTCTGCCTGAGCTGCCACCAAGGTAGAGGGACAGCTCAAAGGGATGTGTTAAAAAAAGGCAGTGAGACAAAGAAAATAGACCTCTGTCCAAATCATAGAACTTTCCTGCCCTGGCATACATGTGTGTATTTGCCTCTCTCCGTATGTTTTCCTTACATGCCCCTTCTCGGTTGCAAAGGTGGCACACACACAGCAGGAAAGCTCACTTACTCCCATGCGATGGCGGCCACCATCACCAGGTACATCAGGTAATGAACAGAGCCATCCCAGTAGCAGATCATGTGCCCATAGGCCGTGTTCAGATACGGTTCACCCTGAGGAGAGCATTACAAAGATAGTTCAGTGTAAGGAAGACTCGAATCTTTAAATGCAGGACAGCAGACGTATGTTACAAGTAAAACAACATAACTAAGTGCTGTTTGTTCATTTGAGCTGTAACAGCTCCCAAACAGTTGGTAGGACTGCAAAAATGTGACTTTCACCCCAGGGCAGCCAGAACCAAGGTCTGCCACAACATCAAATAGGAGAACTACTAACAAAATGACGGTTGATTACTCGACAAAAGTTTGTATAATAACACAAAGGCATCAGGTGGCTGTGTGAGCAATCCCAGTCACTGGAGCAAGGCCAAACTTGTGTCTGCAAGAGCTTGGCCCTGGCCAGAAGGGTGGCCCAGGAAGACCCTGTTCGCTGGTGCCCCCAGCTGACCTTAACTAGACATGCTGATCTTGTGGTGGGTTGGGCAGGTACCCATGTCCAATTTCACACCCAGCTTCCCCCTGCCCCTTATTCGACCTTCCCAACAGGCTTGTGGGCTGGTCAGGACCGGCTGTCTACAGAGGCAAAAACATGTTTCAAGGCTTTAAGACTTGTCTGAGGTCACACAGCTACTAAGGAGCAGAACAGGTATCACCAACCAAAGCCACACTTCAGAGATATTTTTAGTTTCATGAACCCACAATTGTATGATGAACTATGCATGTTCCCTTTTCCCAGGTACTCATGTTTCAGGTTCCCATCAGCCGTGAATGCTTCAATGGTGTTTTCTTCCTTTCTTCCTTGTCCTAGGACCATGCCCTCCCAGATTGCTTCCCATGTCTCCCTAATATGCTTGCTGTCCTTTCTCTAACTAGGAGAGGTCTGAGCAGCTGAACGGTATCAACCAGCCAAGGAGGCATTCCCTGAAACTTTTTGGCTCCCCTCAGGCAAGAACATCAGCACCCCCCCCAAAAAAAGTCACACCCAAACTTTAGCCCTATGCCTGGCTACTGCATTTTTCTCATACCCATGGTGCTCTAGCTGCATAATTCCAGCTGATTTCATGGCTCCAGTCATTCCTGCCTACACTAAAACCAGCACTGGTCTCTTTGGGGAGCTTGGCAGACACCCACGGGCTCTTCAAACCCATCTAAACTCTTCCAACTCACCTGCTTCTCCCTTCCTGGCCCCTGCACAACCAGCTCAGCCAGCTCCAAGCTCGTCTACACAGCCTTTGAACAAATCTCACTGATGCTATATCTACGCTGTCACTTTAGGTGATCTTCCCGTTTCATCACTGCGTAGGCTCAGGCCTTCGGAGTCCCACATAGAACCACGGCTGCATTCCCAGTCACCCCGTCTCTCCCTGCTTCCCATCTACCACACTCCAGCCACAATGCGAGATGCACGCAGCAGCCATCCTCCTGAAAGCCTGTAGGTCAAAGCCCCATCTCTTCCACTAGGTCCCAGACCTTACCGCTGTTACACCTCAGCTTCCTTTCTTGTGTCTACTACCCAAATCCTTGCCAACCTCACCTGGGAGATACCCTGCCCTTTGAGCAGCATCCTCCCTCCTGAAAGCCCCTCCTCTGAGTTCATTGGCCCTCTGCCCCTCTCTGCCCACCATGATCTTTCATTCCCCATGGAAGCAACTGCATTTGGGTGGCTCCTGACTCTCTGTGTCAAAATCTTTCCTCAGAAGTCCTGCTTAGCCGTGCCAGTTGGGGCATTAATAGATGTCTCTCAAGCACCCAAAACGCCACATGTCCCCAGGTGAACTCAGCATTCCCCCCGCAAACACTCCTGGAGAGATAGACACTATTAGGCCTCGTTCCACACCTCTGCCCAAAGTGCCCCCTTGCCCTGGAAGTCCTTTCCCTTCCTTGTACCATATAGAAGTGTGTGTGGTCCTTTCCCATGGCCACTCTGAAACGCTATGGAAATGCCAGCAACTCAAAGAGGCCTGTACTGAGAGTGTACCTCTGTCAATATACCAGGACAATGTCATTCACCCTTCACACTAGACAGTGAACTCCTGAGGGCAAGAAATGGAATTAGATTCGGGAGTCTGTATAGAATGTCACTCCTCAAGCCTCTGACTTAACAGCAGTATTCTAACAAACCCCAAAACAGGAACCAGAACATCACATTGGGCCTTCCTCTCCATCACCCCCATCTGGACCCGAAATCCCACTCCAAATCCCCAAAACACTCTCTGTCTCTCTCTGTCTCTGTCTCTCTCTGTCTCTGTCTCTCTCTGTCTCTCTCTCTCTGTCTCTCTGTCTCTCTCTGTCTCTCTGTCTCTCTCTGTCTCTCTCTCTGTCTCTCTCTGTCTCTCTCTGTCTCTCTCTGTCTCTCTCTCTCTGTTTGCCCTGCACTGCTTCTGGCCATCTTCTTGCCCTTGCTAGCCTTGCAGAAGCCACCTTAGGTATAAGATATCCCACTTCACGAAATGGCCCAATACCCACAAACTTGCCTTCTTCCCTAGCTCAAAAGCTCCCCTCACACATTCCCGGAGAGATATACAAACTCCTCCTTATTTGAAACACAGAAAGGCAATAGACAATACTGTTTTCACCTCTGATCTATTTTCTATGTGACCTTAAGGAGGTCTAGGACAGGATTCAACCCTCTAAGTTAGAAAATAAGCCTAGTTTCCTCAAAAGCTATGATTTGGGGATAGGATGTTACTCACAGACTCAGCAAGCTTCAGTAACTTGATATTACATATATATTATATATATATTATTATATTATATATATGGGACCCTGTCTGTGTGTGTGTGTGTGTGCGCGCGTGCGCGTGCGCATGCATATATATACAGGGTTCCATACTGTAGCCCAGGCTAGCCTGGAGCTCACCATATTGTCAGACTGCCCTCAAACTTTCAGCAGGTCTTCTGCCTTAGCCTCCCAACTATACTGAGTAAAATTGCAGGTATACTAAAGACTGTTTTGAGATCTTTGTGATTCTAATCCACTAACAGAAACCCAAATACTAAAATCATTTGAAGTTCTTCACTCGCAGGGAAAAACAGTTCTGGAGTGAAGGAGGCATGGAGAAGAAGGTCTCCCGGCCTTCTGTGTTCCGTCGCTGGCCTGTCATGTGCCTGCTCAGGCTGGGACAGTGCCCCACCAGCAGCCTGCATGTGAGCCACCCAGTCACAGCGCAACCCTCGAGCAGCCCCGTACCTCTCTCAGGTAGTGAGTCATAAACCCATCAATGATGCCGTCTTGCTCCAAGCCTATGATGAGGTTCACCACGCTGGTAAATCCGAACACCGCATACACTAGAACAGAGGAGGCAGCAGCTGAAAACGCATGCCGTGGGAGACAACAAGGACGGGGCATCCACCAATTATTATGGAGTGTTGCTCATGTTCTTTCAGGAAATGCTGCGGGTGTTATCCGCACAGACAAGCAGGCTGCATCTGCCATACACAGGCTGGTCTTCAGGGAACTCATGTCACAGAAACAGAGAATCACAGTGTGCCAGAAGATTCTTCCAGGCCACCTCCACCATCCTCACTCTCTTCAAGTGAAACCCCCACCCCCCTGAGCAGCAGGAGCTACGTCACTGTAACCAAATGGTCGTCAGGTGGTGTAGAAAAGGTGAGTCCTCTTAGTGTGGCATGCAAGCCAACTAAGAGAGTGTCCACATGTCCAGAATGCTAGCCTTGTCCTCCCTGGAGGTCCTGAGGGTAGGCAGGTGGCTGATGTGCAACTGACAGTCAGTAGCTTTAAGGGAAAAGGCAGAAACTTTCTGCTTTGGAGCCTGGCCTGGAACTAGCTCTTGTAGACCAGGCTGGCCTCAAACTTGAAGATCCGCCTGCCTCTGCCTCCCAAGTGCCGGGATTAAAGGCGTGCGCCACCACCGCCCAGCAAAAGGCTGTGACTTTTAAAATGCACGTGAGATGGGACAGCTGAAGATGCAGGGAGGAAGGCTGCCACATCTACGGAATCTGGCCGGTTATTTGAAACCCCCAGCTGGGCTTTCAATACTACATATGACCACCAGTTAAGGACCAGAGCTTTATAACAGCTACCAATCCCACTCGGGGCCTGTGAGTCCACCAGGAAAAGTACATTTTTTTAAGTTATAATATATTGACGTCTGAGACTGTGGAACGGGAAGGGGCGATAGAAAACCCTGCTTGTGATAAGTTGTAAAGAAAGCAAAAGGAGAGAGGGGAAGCTGCCTTAGGGGAAGCCAGTAGGAGTGAGGGGTCCCTGAGCGGGTGTCACCAGGCACCACTTTGACTCCCAGATAAGCAGCCATCATGGCTCCTGGAAAACGAGGCACCAGGCATGTAATCCACTAGCAGCTGGTGACACCCATAGAGGTGATAGATACTGTCTGAGAGGTGATAAAGACATAGTCTCTCTCTCCTGGTAGGTAAGGATGCTGGCCTAGGGCTCGACCACAAGGCTGAAGGGTTCTCAAAGCTGGAGCAGAACCATGGATACAAGAGTGGTTGCCTTGCCTCAAGGATAGGGAAATGTCTCAATCAGTAGGCTAAGTGTGGGCTCCCCAGGTGGGGAGGAAGTGGAAGGACAGACAGCGCTGTGAGACTGTCTGGGACCAGATCAGCTCTGAAGTCAGAGAGGCCAGGCAGACACAGAGACTCAGACTTCTCCAAGCTTCACTTGTGCCTGTGTCGACAGGGAGACTAGCCAAGGCTCACAGTGGGCAGGGACTGCTTCCCGCCTTTGATGAGGTCACGTGGTTTGCTCTGACCTTAGGATGGAGCTGGAAGTGACTGTGGCACTGGGGACATTCCTTTCCTTCCTTGAGCCCTCTGTGTAGGCTTTGGGGAACTAGGAGGAGATGAGAGTACAGCCCTAAATCTACCCACAGCCTGGAGCTGAGCATCTCAGGTAACCCACAGGCCAGTGAGCAAGAAAAATGGATGCCCATTGCTAGAGACACAGGTAAGGAGGGCTTGACATCAGCAGAAACATAATGAATAAGATGCCCAACAGAATTCCCAGCCACAGGAAGTGCTGCGAGACCAGCCACAGCTTTGCCTGAGGCAGCATGTGTGTGAAAAGGGTCTGGGGGTGTCCCCCATGATCCTGTCTGCATTTCTGGCACCTCCAGCTAGCCGAGTGAATAATACTTCTGAAGGGCTCGGAGCCTTCTCAGGCACATGATGTGTCCAACCAATGACTTTTTTGTTTGTTTATTTAATATACATACTTATTTGTCAGGTGTTGATCGAAGTCCCTAGCAAATACTAATGTCTGACCATGGTATTATCTTCCCCTTTAGACAAATGTGTAGACCAGCGTTCCCAACCTGCGGGTCACAACCCCCATTGCACACCAGATATTTACATTATGATTCATAAGTAACAAAATTATAGTTATGAAGTAGCAACAAAGATGATTTTATATGGTTGGGGGGGGGTCGCCACAGCAGGAGGAGCTGCGCTAAAGGGTTGCAGCATTAGGAGGGCTGAGAACCACTGGTGTAGACTGAGACGCGGCACATTCAATCTCACATACCAGCAGCCAGCTGAAGGCAGAAAGCCCAGCCTGGAGGCTGAGGTAAGAGCATGCCAGGGGCCCAACAGGGTGCCTAGAGGAGGCCCGCCTGGCCCTGCCAGTCACTCTCTAGAAGAACTCTATTTAGAAAGTGGACACCACAGCCTTGAGGGGAATTGAGAGACAAGGGCCTTGTCCTGAACAGCCCTACAGTTCCAGTTTCTGTCAGCAGTGGGCTCAGAGCAGCCACAGCCCAGCAGGAACGTGTACCCAATGCCTGGCTCCCTGCCAGAGTGGATACAAACCCTTTCCCTCTGAGGAATCTACCTACCAGCCCACCTACCATAAAACAGAGGGTCCCGTGGTGGTTTTCTTTTGACGAGGACCCGAGCCAAAAGGGCCACCAGGAGCAGGATGAGGGCAGCAACCCCAACAATGGTCCAGGAACTGTCAGGAGCAAAAGTAGGGAGGTGGTCAATAATCACAATAAACACAACAGTGCCTGGAATTTCCTGGCTATTGAAGACACTGGCTCCCCGTGCTGCCGAAGGCTCCTGGAAGCCAGCCTCAACTCGGGCACCAAAAAGTTTCTGCAGTTTGTCCCCAGCATGCTGGCCTCTCAGGGTCACAACCCCACAACACTCAAGGACCAGAAACCCAGGTCCCCCTTGCCTTTCTCCTTCCCACCGGTGTCCCTAGTATGGCTGCAGCTCAGCTGCCCCTGCCCTCCTTTTTCTCCAACCCTTTACCCTGGAAGCTAACGGTCTAACCACTAGTCTGCCACCTCCCCTGGACCAGTCATTAACCCTCTGACTGAGCTTCATTATGATTGACAGGCCCTCCAGGGAGAAACTTGAAATTCGCAGTGCACTTCCCCATGTGGTAGGCACTGTTGCTGGCCTACGAGACTCCGGATGAAGAAGAGAGGCCGCTGTCTACATGGAGGTACTTATCTCTAGGAGTTCTGAGCTCTGCTGGCCGGAAGGTCACCCCAGCCCTACAGAGATACCAGATGGCCAACACTGTTGGGGCTTCCTATTCTGGACAAATACCTCTGTGACCCTCTGTGCCAGCTCTATAGAATCAGCTCCCCACTGCCACTCAGAGATGCTACAAGCACCGATCCCCAGCTGGGATACCTCCACACCATGACCCAAACACTGGGATCTTCAGATAACCTCCACCACATATCCCTGGGGAAAGAGGAAGACAGTGGTAGAGGGAGAGAAGAGGGATGAATGGATGGAAGAGGAGATGATGGACAGATGAACGGTGAGTGGGTAAGGGATGGATGATGGATGGGGGCGGTGGATGAAGGACCGGATGTGCTTGGATGGATTCTACCATATGATGAGGAGACCGGCTCTGTGTGCTGGGAAATAATGGGAGGTTTCTGAAGCCTCCCTCATACCGGTGGGTTCTCCAGGCTCCTCGGGGAGCTTCCGTGACTCACAGCATGATGCTGCTCTATCTAAGATACCCAGGGAGGAGGGGGCAGGTTGGTGAGCCAGAGGCAGGTGCTGGTCAGCAGACAAGGCTATCCCTGGACTCTAACGGCTGAGTTCACAGCCTGTGCGCTCCAAGGGCTAGGCTCTGCCGGAGTATGACAGGCAGCATGAATTAGTTCAGGGCGTCCTCTCGTGTTCTCCACCTCTAGGTAGGAGGACACGTGAAGGGAAACTGGGGCAGTAGGTCATGTCTGCCCCCCCCCACCAACTCTGCTCCTGGAGACCCTCTGGGGAAAACAACCCATGCCCAGGGCGAGCAGAAGCAGGTCTAACCGTGCAAAGGGCGATTTGGATAAGCCAGGGGTTGTAAGCCTGGAGTGGTCAGGAGTTCCTGGTGCTCTTTGATTAATCCTCTGGGCTGCCATACAGCCCTCTCTAGGCTGCTCTCCAGACAAACACCAGCCTAGCCCTCCCCCTACCTTGCCTAGCTCACACATACCCCAGAACACCTGCAAGGCTCTGTCCCCAGATCTCCCATAACTGAACATATACAGGGGCATGCAAAAGCTTCCCTCCCCCAACTCCTTTCTGACCCTTCGACCTCTCTGACCATCCTGTTTCTCAGAGTTTCATAAAAGGCCTGAACAAGCAGAAGTTCCAGTTAGGAAAGGAAGGGCAACTGAAACCCCGCTGCACACAGGGCTGGGCGGAGCAGTGGCCAGAGGAGTTGCCGCTGGGCAAGGTAGGCTCTGGCCACAGGTCGGAACTCTGTGGGAAAAGCGAGTCAGGAGTCTGAGGGGATTCAAGGCAGGAATCCCTTTGGAGGGAGGACCCACAAATGGAGAAGTGGCAGTTTCATTTCCGCTGGGCCGTCAAGTTAAGTGTGTCTTCAGCAACCCACGGTGGGGAGAAAGAAGGAACAGCCACAGAGACAAGAAGGTGGACCAGTTGTTTAGAAAAAAAGAGAGAGAGAGAGTTGACTCTCTGGGGGTGGGAGTGGGGTGGGAGCTGAGGCTCAGATATGTGCAGGGGGCTCAGACAGGAGGGAGCCTTTGCCACGGTCTGTGCCAGAGAGCTTGGAGTTCTCCCAAGTAGCCCCGTGATTTACCAGAAAGGGGGACAGTAGGAAGAATTTAGGGAACAAAATGAGAGAGCTGTCCTGGAAGGCCGGTTTATCCTATGTATCGGAGGATGGGGGGGGGGGGGGGCTGGAACTAACTCAGTCCAGCCCTTCCTAGATAGCTCAGCCAGCAAACACCTGCCCATCACAACCACTTCCTTCCCCTCCCGTGTTCACCCTGCTCCCTATGCTCACAAAGCTCTGCCCCCAGATCTTGCCGTAGCTGAAGCATCCCTATCTCCAAAAAACCTTCCCAGGCCACTAGCCCCCTCCTGGTCACCCCGTTTTGTTGCCTTCATAGCATATGTATCTACTGGTCTCTATTTTTTAATTCATGGCTCCTCAGTCATTCCTGGCCTGTTCTGAGCTAGTCCCCAACTTCTGTGAGGGATCGTAGCACATGTTCAATAAATGTCCACTGAGCTGCTCACGGTGCTACTTTAGGAGCCAAGGTCCCTGTGCACTCTATCGACAGGCACAAAACATCTGACTGCCCAGAGCCTCTGCATCAGGAGATGCTCCAGAGGCGGGGTCGGTCCAAGGGCAGATGCAGCCTGTGCCTAAGCTAACAGAGCTTCTCCGTGCTCGGGTTGTCTGCAGGAGGTGACCAGAGCAGGGCAAGACGATGTGTGCACCCCCTGCTAGCAGTCTGGAGGACTTGGGGGTGGGGGACATTACAGAGTATACAGACTGATGCAATTTCCTTAGCACCAACCGCTGTGGAAAACATAGCAGGTTACTTCCTCCTCCAGCAGGCAGCAACCAGCTTCAGCAGGGCCACAGCTGGCGCCTTTCCAGTGACCACCCAAGAGCTGGTCAGTCAGTGATCCCTTTAGAGAAGTGGGAGGCCAGACTGGGAGCCAGAGTCCTTGTAGACTCCTTCAGCTCCACTGGGCTTTAGCACTGAACTACCGTGCCTTTGCTCCGGGCCGGCATTCCTGTCACAGCGCCCCTCCACAAAGTTCTCACAAGAACCTTAGGGTGCAAATACTACCCATTTGACAGACCAGAACGCTAAAGCCAGGCCACCCTGTTAGTAGCCAAGCCAGGCCCAGAGAACCAGGGCTATTTCTGCTAGCCTCTCACAACAATTTCTAAAATTAAAAAATGGTTAAGTAAGTGAAAGTCCATACATGGAAAACGATCCTATCAAATAGGGCAGGCTCGTGCCTTTCCGTGTTGCTCTGAACCCTTTGGTGTCTGAGAGCCTCGGAGGCAGGAGCATTGCAGTATTGACCTGGGTAATCCCAGTTACCCACTCAGCACCAGCAAAGAGCAGGCGCCCAGCCCTCAGACCTTGAACTGCCCTAGCCCAAAGGAGGACCTAGGTCCGGGTGACCTGGCTGTCTCCCTCGTGCGGCGGGCGTGGAGTTCCTGGACGCGACCCCAGTCCCGCTGAAAAGTTGCAGGCGCTTGCCGACCCCTTGCGCGCTCACTCACTCGTGCTGGGCCGCCAGGTGGTTGAAGATGTAGGTGACCGGGATGGCTGAGAGGGACAGCATGAACACCCCGGTGGCCGCAGAGGCACTCATCGCCGCCGCCGCGTCGCTCACCCTTCACTGCATCGCTCCCGGGTGCCCCCACCCCAGCTTCCGGCGACGCCGCGCCCCTCGCCGCTACCCTTCCAGGTTCCCCTCTGCGGCGTCCCCTCCGCGCGTCCCCGCAGCTGCCCCGCGAGCGCAGTGCCGCCACCCGGGTGCGCTAGAGCCGCGGTACGATCCCGAGAGGCGTCCCCGCCCGGCTCCTTCTAAAGAATGCCGTGGTTCAGAGGCCACGGCGACGAGACAAGCGCCCCAGGACGTTTGCTCTCAGGGAAAAGGAGTGGCTGGGCGAAGCATGCGGGTCACAGTTGGGAGCTGGGCATCCTCGAGCTGGAGCGGCGCTGGGCTGAGCCAAGGGCCAGGGAAGGGTGGAGCCAGACCCGAGGGTGTCAGCGCGTGCAGGCCCGCGAGATCGGCTCAGAGACTCACAGGGACAGATGCTCCAGGAACCTTGGAACCTCCCTGCCCCCCAGGCAGTCATCAAGGGCCGCAACCAAGGTTCTTGGGCCAAGTGGAAATATTCGGTTTCCACCCTGGCTACTCGCTCACCAGCCCTTGACCTTGATCAAGTTACTAAGCGTTCTGTATCTTTTCTCTCTGTGTGTGAAATAGAGATAGCCTGCTGCATCGTCTGATTGTGGAAATAACGGAGTTAACAAGTATGAAGGGCTTGCCCTGCACTGCTCAGCGCACGGGTCTGTTTCCCCGCTCCCTTTCTTTTTTGTAGCAGAGCGGACCCTCAGAGGAACGCCCTGGTGTAGGACGCTGAGACAGTATTCATTTCTTGCCTGGAAGTGTTCTTGGAGGCCGGGTTAGCGCCGACTAGCCTGGCAGGTCGGCAGGGTACAAAGACTAGAAGACAAGAGCTCTCTTCGGAATATCGACAGACAGACGGCTGGTTGTAGAGCATGGTGGTGACGCTGTTCTGCTGGAGCCGCCTTACTGGTGGGGGAGCTCCAGAAGGCCCCTGCGGCAGAACCTGATTGCTATGGCCTTGGGGAAGCGAAGAAAAGTGGGCTCCTGAGCGACGACAGGTGCAGCAGAGTGCAGGTCTTCCCGTCTCCACGACCGAGAGATGGCTCAGAGGTTAAGAGCACTGACTGTTCTTCCAGAGGTCATGAGTTCAATTCCCAGCAACCACATGGTGGCTCACAACCATCTGTAATGGGGTCTGGTGCCTTCTTCTGGCTTGCAGGCATACACACAGACAGATTATTGTATACATAATAAATAAACACATATTTTAAAAAAAGTGAGGAAAATGAGCCACTGATCCACAATAACCTGCTCCAAGCCACTCAGTTGTTTCAAAGCCAGCTCTCCTAATCCCTGTCCTAGCTTTTCGCGAAAACTCAGTCAACAGTAGACACACAAGGGTAAAGTAAGGCCTCTACCCAAACTGCAGTGTCTTCGAGGTTTCTCTCGGAAGTCTGAGGGAAGCCTGAACAGCACCCTCTTCCATGATTGCTCCTTATCTTTACCACCTCCTTCATTCCCCAAAGAACTTTCTCTCCCTTGGCCAGTCCCCTAGGCCAGCTCCCTAAGTATGCCCAATCCACCATCACCTCCCCCTCTGGTACCTGGATGTGTTAGCATTCTCTATATGCTCTGAGTGCCTCTGGCTGCCCTGGACACTTGCTGAACCTCAGTTATTACTTACTCTTCTTTCTCATCTGTACTTGGTTTGCGTTAAATTCAAAGTTATATTTATGAAAATTGTTCAGTCGAAGCCAGGAATGTAATTGGTGGAGTGCTTACCTGACGCTCAGAAACTCCATACCTCTATCTGTTCTCCAGTGCTTCATAAATGGGGTTTTATGGGACACACCTGAAACCCCAGTACTAGGAGATGGAGGCAGAGGGATTCGGGAGTTCAAGGTCATCCTCAGCTACCTAACAAGTTCAAGGCCAGCCTGGGGCCCTGAGACCCTGCCTCAACGGCAACGGGAACGGTTTGGGAACATACCACAGAGCTTGCCGTGTATGGATATCATTTGCTCTGGGTGGAAATGGTGAAACACTATGGGACAGAGAGGAGAAGAGGCTGGAGATGGGGGGTGATGAGGGCTCCTCTCAGAGAACCTCAAATTCAGGAAGCCAAGCAAAAGGGTGAGGAAGGGCCCTGATGAGGTGAGCATCTTAAAAGCCATGGTGTAAACAGCAGCTTACCAGAGGAAAAGGACCAATCAGGAAGCTCCTACCATTTATCCTGGCAAGAGATGATAGGACCAGGACCAAGCCAATGGCAAGGAGAAGGAAGAGGAAACAAATGTGGAAGGAAGATACCAGAAAGAATTGGACAAAGTGGGGGGAGACCATGTAAGAGCTTGTTCTGGGTTTTCAGTACGAACAGGGACAATTGGGAGGCACAGTCTGCCAGCAAAAAAAGGGGGGGGGGGCAAAGGCTGCAGATGCAAGTTTGAGTCCTATCCGTACAGAAGCAGGCCTTAAAGCCAAACCCGTGTGTTCAACGTAAGAGTCAGACAGGCAAACAGAAGCTCCCTGAGAGGGGTCGGTGGGCACGGCCTCCAGCAGAGCAGTTTATTGGCATCCACCCTGCCAGCATGATCAACCAACATCCCTGGGCCGAGAACTGGCCACGATCAACCAATATCCCTGGGCCGAGAGCTGGCAAAGCTTTAAAGTTTATGTCAGGCATATTGGAAAACTTGTGTTTTCAGTGGGGATTTTTTTTTTTTTAATCTTGAAGCTGACAGCAAAAATAGTAAGTGGGAAGGTTTCACGGGAGCACCCCCTGGGCTTGGGAGATATAATCCCATCTGCAACTGGTACCCCCATGAATTAAAAAGCAGACCCGCCATCATCCCTTGTTAATCTCACAGAAGGTCTCTAAAGAGTGCAAAGCTATTCGAGGATGGAGACTTCCAGTTGCTGTTTCTCAGGATGCTACCGCCAGCCAGCAGCAGAGCGCTAGGAATGGTGCCTTGGGAAAACGTGGGAGCAAGAACACCAGGTTTGTCATAGCTCTGGAGGACAGAATCTCAGTGCATCTTAGTAATTGAAGTTTGAGGGAGGGACACATCCAGATTTTAGAAAAGGCATTTGGAGGTCCTGGAGAGATGGCTCAGGAGTTAGGAAAACTGGCTGCTCTTCCAGAGGACCCAGTTCAATATCAAGCACCCATGCTGCAGCTCACAAACCGTCCGTAACTCCAGTTCCGGGGGATCTAACACCCTCTTCTGGCCTCCATAGGCACCAGGTACATACACGTTGCACAATCATACATGAAGTTTGTATGACCGGGTTTGTAGCTCAGTGATAGAGCATGCGTCTAGTGTATACCAGGCCTTGGGTTTGAGTTCCAGTATTGCAAAAGGAAAAAAGAAAAACAACTTGAGTATGTGTTCTTACAAAAGCTTACATGCTCTAGACGAGAGTGCATGCGGCATTCAGCATGAGCTGTGGGATACACTGTGGCAAGCAAATGGTATGAAAGTGATCAGGACTGTATGACTCATGGGGCAGAAAATGAGGGCACTGGAGACAGAAGCCAGGAGAGAATAACCCACCACTTCCCTCCCTAAACCTCAGGACTGGAAGAAGCGCTCAGTGCAGATGACTGCTTAACCTTATAGTTGCTGTAAGTCGGATGAAATTATTGATAAGGATCTCGAGGGGGGATGAAGTTGCTGTGTGTCCAGCACGCAACAGTGCCAAACATAGAATATGCTCAATACTGCAGTGGCAGAGAAAGGAAGTGGGGATGCCAGAAATAGAAGTGATGCAGAGAGGAGCAGAGGGCACATAAAATGAGACGAGGGAGTTTAACGGTTTGCAAAGGTTCTGCGCAGTTGCCAGTGGAGGTCTGCAGTTTCCCCCGGGGTTTCCTAGCAACCAGAGCAAAAAGAAGAGAAGCATATTCAGTTATAACATTCACCGTGCCCGGAAGATAAAAAAACAGAGCAGTTGCTCAGAAAAACTTGTCCTTCAATCGCCTTTTTTTTTTTTCCTTGAGACAAGGTTTCGCTGTAGCTTTGGAGCCTGTCCTGGAACTAGCTCCAGGCTGGTCTCGAACTCACAGAGATCCACCTGCCTCTGCCTCCCGAGTGCTGGGATTAAAGGCATGCGCCACCACCACCTGGCCTCTCAATCATCTTAAGGGAGCATTCCTATAGTAAATATAGGCTGTGCTCTTGACAGCTGTGGACAACTGTTATTCAGTACAGCCTCTGCAGGTGACTGGCATTTTGCCAAGTGTCACTCGGTATACTTGAGCTGTCAAAGCAACCTCATAGAGATAAGAACTTTGAATGTTTAGACGTGGTTTGGAGGGAGATTTTCTAAGACCTGGGAACAGTGATATATCGAAGATGCTTTTCTAGCGCCTGTACCATCACTTCCGGTCTAGTATGAGGTAGACACCGCTACCTGATGATGGCACGCTTTCCTGTTTGAGGTCTCACCTTCCCAGCAGAGCACACTGGTAAGTTTCTCTTGGTAAAGTATTTACCAAGCAACCCTGACTCAAAACAAACAAACAAACAAAACCCAAAGCACTTAACGGGGACTTGCTTACACTTTCAAAGGTTTAGTCTGTTAACGTCATGGCAGGAAGCATGGCAGCGTTCAGGCAGACAGGGTGCTGAAGAAGCAGCTGAGAGTTCTACATCTGAACCCACAGGCAGCAGGAACAGAGGGAGACTGGGCCTGGTTTGGGCTTTTGAAACACCAAAGCCCTCCCCCTCAGTGACATGCTTCCTCCAATAAGACATATCTACTGCAACAAGGCCACACCTCCTAATCTCTTTCAAGTAGTGCCATTGCCTGATGACCAAGCTTCCAAATATATGAGCTGATGGGAGCCATTCTTGCTCAAATAACCATACCAGCCAATCTAGCCTAATCAACAAGGTCCAAGCCAGAAGCAGATCCTATCTCAAAATAACAAGGGGGTACCTGAAGAATGATACCCAAGGTGACTTCGGTCTGCACATGAACAGACATTTTTGTGTGCACACAAATAGGCACACACACTCCCAAAGAAAGTTTTAAGGCCAAGCTCAGTGACCTATCCCTGCAATCCTAGGACAGGAGGATCAGAATTCATAGTAAGTCCCAGTTAGGTACTGAATTAAAGACCAACCCAGGATATGAGACCCTGTCTCCAAAAACTGAAAGGGGGGAGGAGGAGGGCGGAGAGAGGAAGGGAGGAAATTTTAATACAGATGAGGTGATAGGGAGATTGAGGTTATAGCAGCTGGCGCGCAAGGAAAAAATGTCGTATGCTTTTTCAGTGAGTACAGAAAATAGATCATTTGCCATTCTGAATGAAAAGGGTGAGCTGGGAT